ATGACCTGAAGAACTTCAGAGTAAGCACTCTCCTAGTCTGAAGCGTCTCGCTTTCAGATTCTAATAATGGCGCCCATCTAGCAAATCGACAGCATCACCCCTGGTCACCCCGAGGCCCACGACACCCCCGGTGTCGAGGTCACCACGGGCCCTCTGGGTCAGGGTTTCGCCAACGCTGTTGGTTTGGCCATTGCCCAGAAGCACTCCGCTGGTGTCTTCAACAAGCCCGGCTACGAGCTGTTCAACAACCACACCTTCTGCTTCTTCGGTGATGGCTGCGCTATGGAGGGTATTGCCAGCGAGGCTGCCTCCATGGCCGGTCACTTGAAGCTTGGCAACCTGATTGCCATCTACGATGACAACCACATCTCCATCGGTATGGCCTATTCTTCAGCCTGGCTCTGAGGCGACCGTCTTGAATTCGACAGACCACTGACCGTGATTGTTGCAGATGGTGACACCAAGTGCGCCTTTACTGAGGACGTTACCAAGCGTTTCGAGGCCTACGGATGGCACACCGTCTGGGTCAAGGACGGTGACAACGACCTTGATGCCATTGAGGCTGCCATCCGCGAAGCCAAGAGCGTCACCGACAAGCCCTCCGTCATCCGTTTGACCACTACCATTGGTTTCGGCTCCAAGCTCCAGGGTACCGGTGGTGTCCACGGCAACCCCTTGAAGGCTGACGACATCGAGAGTGTCAAGCAGCGTTTCGGCTTCGACCCCAAGCAGAGCTTCGTCGTTCCTCAGGAAGTCTATGACCTCTACCACAAGCACGCCGCTGAGGGCGCCGCCGCGGAGCAGGAGTGGAACAAGCTCTTCGAGAAGTATGCTTCCGAGTACAAGTCCGAGCACGCTGAGCTCACCCGCCGTCTCTCCGGCAAGCTTGCCGAGGGCTGGGAGAAGAGCCTGCCCACCTACAAGCCCTCCGACCCTGCCGTGGCTACCCGTAAGCTTTCCGAGGCTGTCCTTGAGCAGATCCACGACGTTGTCCCCGAGCTCCTGTCTGGCTCTGCCGACTTGACTGGCTCCAACAACACTCGCTGGAAGAACGCTGTCGACTTCCAGCCCCCTGAGTACAACATCGGTGACTGGTCCGGTCGTTACCTCCGCTACGGTGTCCGTGAGCACGCCATGGCTGCTGTCATGAACGGTCTCGCTGCCTACGGCACTGTCATCCCCGCCGGTGGTACCTTCCTCAACTTCGTCTCCTACGCCGCCGGTGCCGTCCGCCTCTCTGCCCTCTCTCGCGTTCGCGCCATCCACGTCGCTACCCACGACTCCATCGGTCTGGGTGAGGACGGCCCCACTCACCAGCCTATCGAGACTCTTGCCCACTTCCGTGCTCTGCCCAACTGCATGGTCTGGCGCCCGGCTGATGGTAACGAGACCAGCGCTGCCTACTACTCTGCCCTGACCTCCAAGCACACCCCCAGCATTCTGGCTCTCACCCGTCAGAACCTCCCCCACCTCGAGAACTCCACCATCGAGAACGCTCTCAAGGGTGCTTACGTTGCCGTTGACGCTCCCGACGCTGCCGTCACCCTTATCTCCACTGGTTCCGAGGTCAGCATCTGTATCGAGGCTGCCACCTACCTCAAGGAGAAGCACGGCATTGCTGCCCGTGTCGTCTCCGTTCCCTGCTTCGAGGTCTTCGACGCCCAGGACAAGTCCTACAGACTCCAGGTCCTTCCCGATGGTATCCCCATCCTCTCCGTCGAGGCCCTCACCACCATGGGTTGGGAGCGCTACTCTCACGAGCAGTTCGGTCTCAACCGCTTCGGTGCCTCTGGTCCTTACAAGGAGGTCTACGCCGTAAGTCTTACCCCAGTTTCCTGCTCGAATGTTTCGTCACTAATCCATTTCTACAGAAATTCGAGTTCACTCCCGAGGGCATCAGCAAGCGCGCCATCGCCACCATTGACTTCTACAAGGGCCACAAGGTGCGCTCGCCCATCAACCGTGCTTTCCAGCAGATTCTGTAGACGGCTTGTTTTAGCGACGTGATGACTTGTTACCTATATTTTCATGTTTATGGTTCTCATGGACGATGTTGATCCTAGGGCCTAGATGGCCCCTCAGGAGAAGTCCTATTTAACGAATGTCGTTTTAAGATAAAATGCACGATTTTCTATTTTGGTTACTTGAGGGTGTTGATGTAGTAGGATTCGTTCTGTCAAGCCCATGTAGATTAAAATCGTATGGTATAAGCCGGTCGGTTGAACCCTTCCCAATTGGGTCGTGTTCAGAGCTCCGACTCAACGAACATGAGCGACATTGCTTATATCAGTTTCTACTCGAGTGCATATTGCTAAGTACCATGTCGGATAAAGATAATGAAGGGAAAAATCTTTTGGTTATATTCATCATCGTCAGATCATTCATCGATTATCATCCGCCCTAGGCGCCTCAAGACCGGAGGCCACAGATCCCAAAACAAGATAGAAGAATGAAACAAAAGTTTAAGTAATCTAGTTGAGAGCCTTGCGGGCGAAGTTGGGCAGGACGAAGCTGGCGCGGTGGATGTCCTGGTTGTAGTAGCGGCAGAGACGCTCCTCCTCCTCGCGGGTCCAGGAGCGGACGGGCTCCTTGACGTTGCGGGTGGCATCCTTGCAGCAGACCATGAAGCCGATCTGGCCGGAGGGGTAGGTGGGGATGGTGGTGTAGGCGTACTCGGCGACGGGGAAGACCTCCTTGCAGGCCTTCTTGAGGTCGGTGATCAGGGACAGGTGGAGCCACTGGTTCTCGGCTGTAGTCGGATAATTTGGTTAGCTTTCAAAGGGGTTTGAAATTGTAGAGTGAATCGAGAAATGATGGAGTATGCAAATGGAGCGGAAGGGGGGAAGAGACGAAAGGGGTACATGTAACAGGATAGGGGGAAGAAAAGAGAATGAGAGAAATAATGAGATGTACTGAGAGAGACAAGAAACAAGAGAGCGGAGACAAAAGGGGTAGGGTAAGAGAGGAGACCGGGCATGTGAAAGTGGGCAGATGAGAGCAAAGTAAAGGCGACGAACAACCTTGTGTGGTGATGACACCGCCCTCGCGCAGCGCATCGCGGAGGAGCTCGAAGTAAGGCTTCTGGAAGAGGCTCTCGGCGGGACCCTCGGGATCGGAGCTGTCGGTGATGATGACGTCGAACTCGTTCTGGCGCTGCTTGAGGAACTCGAAGCCATCGCCAACGTGGACCTTGACGTTGGGGTGCTGGAAGCCGATGCTCATGCCGGGGAGGTACTTCTTGGAGACACGGATGACGGCCTAGAACTGCATGAGCTGGAACGTCCCCCTCTCATGGGAAGGTTGTATTGGTTGTCTGTACCTCATCGATGTCGCACAGAATGGCCTCCTCAACGGTCTCGTGCTTGACGACCTCACGGAGGACACCACCGTCACCACCGCCGATGACGAGGACTTTCTTGGGGTTGGGGTGGGAGTTCATGGCCAGGTGGGTGATCATCTCCTGGTAGCTATAATCGATTCAAGGTCAGTCCTGTAAGTGAAACCTGCCTTATAGAAGAGTGGGCTGCAAGGTAACACAGAGACAAAGTATGGAGGCCGGACGTACGAGAACTCATCGCGCTCGGTGCACTGGATGACGTTGTCGAGAACGAGAACAGTGCCGTAGTCGCTGCTCTCGAAGACGAGAACGTCCTGGTACTTGGACTTCTCGTGGTGGAGAATCTGGTTAACCTTCAGGTTCATGGCCTGGCCAGGCCACATGTTGGACTGCTCGGAGAACCAGCCATCTGCAGAGCGCAAGAGGTTAGCGATGATGGGGCATTTCTAGTCATTATACCTTGACACGAGGATTTTGATTGAGGTAGTAGGTGCACTGTCAAGTCAGCCCGAGCTTGCCTGGTCCATTGAGAGGTATCCAAGGACTGGTTTGGGAAGAGTCCCAACATAGGCGAGGTGGGGTAACTGAGCAGTGATGGAGGGGTGGTGGTGGTGCGAAAGAACTTGCCCTTGATAGTGGGGTGAGTGATGTCGCTCATGGTGACGGATTGAGAAGTACGCGAAAGATGCGAACGAGAGAAAACAAAAGCACGAAGGGGAGAAGGTGAGTGAGGGAGTGAAGAGAACCGAAAAAGAAGAGAGGAAGAGGAAGAGGAAGAAGAAGAAGAAGAGGGACGGCAGAAAGACAAGAAGAAAGACGAGCGCATGCGGAGTGGGGGGTTTTCCAAATCCAGCGAGGGAAGAAAAAAAATAATGGAGGGGAAGTGCTGTCTGGACTGGTAAGTTAGTGGTAACTTCGAGTACTCCTCCGTATGTCAAGTGAAACTTGCTGTGGAAGTTGAGTCCACTAAAACTAAATTTACTAGTACGTAAGATATTGGGCGTAATTGACTGTACCCGTTCGCCGTTTTCCTAGCCTTTGCTTCCCAAATTCTCTCTTCATTGACCCGTTTTGGTCATTTTTTGGGATCAAGCTACAATACATTACCTTGATCATTTCTTGGGGAACAGCTTAAGAGTTGTAAATGAGACCTGGATAAGAAAGCAGACATTCCACTCTGACATTGACCATTGTGTAAGAGATTCCATTCCGTACCCATCACGAACAATGGCCGTCTCAGGCCTGTGCGCTGCTGCTGTTGGGGAAAAGGTAGTAGAACATGCCCTTTAGGCACTTGGGCAGCAGCATCCTCACGGCCAAAGCGACAAGATACACTCCAATCGATGCATAGCTCAAGGGGTGTGTAAGACATGAGATTATTCGAAGTGCATTATCGTAGAACAGAGAAGGTCAATCAGCGCAGGGCAATGGCCGGACACTACGATTGGTCAAGGTCGCCTGGATCTGGAATCCATCCGACCTATCTAAACGCATCCATTACAGATCATGGATACAACCCCCCACGCTTGAACTACTCATAGGCACTCATAGGCAAAGCGGCACACGCAACACAACCGATTGCTTCTAGTTACTGTACATCGCAATCACCAAACAAATTCCTGCATTCTTCCTGGGCTACATTTCTTCCCCGTAGTGATCCCCTTGGTATCGCACGTTACATTTACTCCTCACCACCCTCGAGAAGGCGGCCAGGCTTGGAGTTGAGGTACTCGTTACTAAGAAGAAGTTCAGTGTCAGCTTCTAATCATCCAGTCGCTGCAAAGGCGCGCATCAAGTAGAAATTCCCCGTGGACGGGTAGAGGGAATGCATACCGCTCAATAGCCCAGTTCATGAGGGCGTAGGCGGCAATGAAGGGAGGAGCGACGTAGAGGACCTGGTGTCTGAATCTGCGGAAGGTGTTGAAGATAGCGGCGTGACCGGCACCGGCGAGAGGGCGCTGACGGTTGGGAGAGAGGGAGTAGGAGGTGATACGCTGGGGAGTAGGGCAGCCTGGAATGATTCACGGTCAGCCACACCATTGTCGGCGGGTCGAGGCGACATCGCTTGTAATCGTCATCTTGAGCAGCATCCAGCATCGATTGGGGCCTGATCATCTGCGAATGAGGCATGCCATATTCCCAATCCAGGGTATGGTTGCCGCCCCAGGACGTTGTCTGCATCATCACGCTCGGAGAGAGGGTTCAAGAGACATACCGAGGTCACCCCACGTGCCGAGGAAACTAAAGCGACCACACATTAGCGAATGTTCCTGAGTATCAATGCATCTCTTTTCGTCGTCTATTCCATTGGGACAGGCTGGGCTCGAGGAGTTCCATAGACAAGGGCCGCACGATAGCCGTGCTCCGGAAAAGCTAGGGATCGCGGTGAGGGCACCAGCCGCAGAGGAAAGAACTCACATTCCGTTCTTAGGATCGAGATGACCACCCATTGTGAAAGTATGCGACGAGTTTCAAGGTATTAAGAAACGCGGAGTGGAAAAGAAGATAGGACGAAGGTAAGGCAGAACAGAACAGAAGGGGAAGAAAGTCGAGGTTGGCTTTCGGACCGAAACGGGCGAAGGTCGAAGTCGAACGAGACCGCCCAGCACTAGTCCCGATCAGGACAGTCTGCGAAAAGCCTCCCGCGACATCATCTCCTCACATCCATTATTCAGTGCAGCGGGAATTGAATACCTCGTCGAAACTTAATAGCTTCCATCTTGCTGCACCCCTCCCGTTTCTCGCTCCCAACAACACACCACCCACCATGTCGAACCGCTTCTTGTTCACATACGGAGCTCCCTTTGTGGGATTCTGGCTCCTCGGAGAATCCCTCTACGATGTCCGTGGCGGAACCCGCGCCGTCATCTTCGACCGGTTGTCCGGTGTGCAGGAGAAGGTCGTGAACGAAGGCACACACTTCCTCATCCCCTGGTTGCAGAAGGCGATCATCTACGATGTCCGCACCAAGCCCCGCCATATCTCGACCACCACCGGAAGTAAAGACTTGCAGATGGTCAGCTTGACCCTGCGAGTCCTGCACCGTCCTGATGTCCCGAAGCTGCCGGTGATCTACCAGGTTCGCAATCACCCCCCGACCCCCCAGTATCTTGTTGACGCCTTTCTGACCACTGCACTGTTTTTCTTTGGATAGTCATACGGTACCGATTACGACGAGCGTGTGCTGCCCTCTATCGGAAACGAAGTCCTCAAGGCCATCGTGGCCCAGTTCGATGCCGCCGAATTGATCACCCAGCGCGAGGCCGTCTCCAACCGCATCCGCACGGACCTGATGAAGCGGGCGGCCCAGTTCAACATCGCCCTGGAGGACGTCTCCATCACCCACATGACCTTCGGCAAGGAGTTCACGCGCGCCGTCGAGCAGAAGCAGATCGCGCAGCAGGATGCCGAACGGGCTCGCTTCATCGTCGAGCGCGCCGAGCAGGAGCGCCAGGCCAACGTTATCCGCGCGGAGGGTGAGGCCGAGAGTGCCGATATCATCAGCAAGGCCGTCGCCAAGGCTGGCAGCGGGCTGATCGAGATCCGTCGTATCGAGGCGAGCAAGGAGATCGCCAACACGCTGGCCAGCAACCCCAACGTGACATACCTGCCGGGTAACGACGGCAAGGAAGGTGGCAAGAACACAAGCCTTCTGCTGGGTCTGAGGAACTAAAGACAGAAGTGGAAACCGATATGTAGTTCTGTTTGTCTGCCTAATTGTTTTTTCTTTTCCCCTTTTGACCCGGATGGATCTCTCGGGCGTGCATGATCTCCCTGGCGAAACTGATGTTGTTTGGTGTCTTCCCCTTCCTCTTCCTGTTTGACATACACCACCTTTCTTATCTCTTGTAGCAATAACATACACATTCTTCTCTCTCCCTCAATTCTCCAGATCCGTTATCATCCAAGCATACACTCTTACAGTCCTGCGGACCAAGTCTTCACCAAAAGCACACCGTAACATTCCGCATATATTATCCAAGAAACCGTAAACAACAAAGAAAACCAACGGCCAAAACAGCAAGATATATAACGCAAACACACACGGAGAATTCAATCCGCCAAGCGGCGATAGATATGCACCTGAAACCTCATATCCTCCAAGCCCGCCGCATCCCCCACACCATACCGCAGCCGCGCCGCATCGCGCCTCCACCAGCGCGAGTCCTGCGAGAACAGCCGATCCCACTTCCCCGCCGCGACGGAGAGCAGCGCATGATCCAGCAGGAATTTCATCGGATACTGTCGCTCCGACGTGCTGCTACTCGTCGACTCGCCCGAGCCACCGGCGCTGTTCTTCCCGAGTTTCAACGTAGAATAGCTACCGGGGCTGTCGACCACGAGCAGCACCGCACCCGGCCGCAGCATGTCCGTGAGCCGCAGCAGAAAGCCCGTGGCTTTGGCCATGGAGGTCGAAAACAGCTCGTTCAGCGTGAACATCAGCGTCACCAGGACGGGTCCGCTGGCGGTGTCCGGCTGTACCAGCCTCCGCAGCTCCTCCTCCGAGGCCGAAAGGACGTCCAGCTTCTGGAAGCCCACCTGGAAGCTGCTGCTCGATGCCCGTGCACTGTCGTGCGCGTCCGGGCCAATGCTGAGCCCCGCGTCTCGATACAAAGGAGCGGGATGCGCGTCCGACCCCGCGACGGCGGGAGACCGGATGGTGGAGACCAGTCGATCGACGATGGGCGACCAGTCCGCGATGTCGACGGCTGTGACGGAGAGCCGGTGGCGCTGTTGGTGTTGTTGTTGTTGTTGTTGTTGTTGTTGTTGTTGTTGTTGTTGTTGTTGTTGTTGTTGTTTTCGTCCATCGGGTGTCGACGATTCCTCGACCGTGGCAGTAGCCTGAGCCTTCGGTTCATTCGTCTCGTGTAAAGAGAGATCATCCACAGCAGCAGCGAGGGTTCGTGCTCCTTCTTGCTCTCCACTACCAGCATCAGCACCACCAGCAGCCAGCTGCCCCCTGCTCCTCCTACCATCCCCAAAAACATCACTCCAATCCCTCCAAGCAGCCGCAAGGGCAACGATCTCAGCCCCCGCGCCGCCACCAATACAAACCACATGACCGCTAACCCCCTCCTCCCCCTCCTCCGCATCATCACCAACAACCACCGAAGTAGTAGCGCCAGCAACCCGACCCTCACGCTTCAACAGCACCCCCAACAAAGCCCTAAAGATGCCCGCATAGCCCAACGCGCGCGACGAGCTCCATCGCAGAGCATACGCACGCAGGAGCTCCTCATCGGCGTCCGTAAACGCTGAGTCGAAGTCCCGGTTGTACAGATGCGACTTGATGGTCTGGATGAGGCCTTTGATGTCCAGTTGGGGCTGCTGTTGCTGCTGCTGCTGCTGTTGCTCAGCTACTACAGCCTCGGCGCCTTCACCGCCCGAATCACCCTCGCCATCGCCATCGCGTTTCTCAGTCCGACTGCTGCTGCTGCTAATGCTGATGCTGCTAGGCACTCGATGCGTGAGCAAGGCCGCCTTGAAGACGTTCAGGAGCAGTTGCTGGAGGGTCAGCGGGATGGTCGCGGAGAGATCGATCTGATTTGCGGCGGCCGATTCAGCACCATGATTCTGCGGCCGGTGCTGGTGCTGGTGCTTGCCCCGAGTAGTTGTTGTACCCCTCGAAGATTTTTTGGGGTCGTTTTTGCTGCCGCCGCGAGTCTGACTCTGGGAGGAGGCTTTCGCGGCCTTTTTGGAGGGGCCCATGTCTCGTGATAGTCGAGATCACTTTTTATATATATATAAATATATATGTATACTACATATAATATCGATAGCTTTCCTCCGATGCCAAGAGAGCGGCGGCTAGACTACAGAGTTGAGTTTTTCTCTGGTGTTCGGCGTGTGGGGCTCCCGGTTTCGGGGTACTTCACAACTGCAGATATATCTTCGACAAACCTCAAGCGTGAATCTTATAATCGATACCGGCGCATATCTCCTCCAGTTGCTTCACACATCGACGAAATACGAGCCTGCAAGTACAATTGATGTCTTACACGGGAATGAAGGTTTAAAGGCTCCACCAAAACTAGTGCCGCAGAATGTACATTCATTGCAGCCGTAAGCGGCTGTTTCAGTATCCATATAAAGACCTCATGCTAAATTCGTCAGAAAGAGCCTCCAGTCCATGAAAACCGATAGCAACCACCAGCTTCGACCAGCCAAGAAAAAAAAAATCAGAGTATCCCCTCCCTAATGTAAGTATGCCCGATAAGAACAAAAAGAACATCAGATGTCCCATGGAGGGATATGACGGAGAACAAGCCCTGCCCTTCCGAAAATCGGGGTCGGGATGAGATGGAGTGAGAAGGGAGGAGCTGAGAGAAGGTATGATAAAAAACAATTGGTAGCCTGGGGAAATAGCAAGCCAAGTTGATTGAACTGGCTCACAACTTGCAACAAGCACGGAACGAGAGACATGAAATCTCGAAAAGAGGAAAAGGATAGAGCTTCATACTCTGACGCTTGCGATCACATGCCAATGGAAAGAAATTCGTCAGTTACCCTAACAACAGTAAAGGGGAACTTGATCAAGAAAATAAATGCGAAAGAGGAGAAAGAAAAATGTGAAGAGGTAAGAGATCTTGCAAAGATCCCTGAGAAGCGAATCATGATCAGGTTGAATATGTACATGTGTCAATATTTGTCTCGAAAAAAGGGTAGTTTCATAATTGTGGCTCTTGTCGAACCCCGTGTTCATGCGGTCTGTCTTTGTCTTTGCTCCTCCAGAAGTGCATCAAACGACTGATCCGGTGAGATTTCCTCTTGGACTTTTCGGGCTCATCTTCAGGTGGCTTTTCTTCATGACTGAGTTTGCTTTTCTCTCCCTGGGAGCCAACAACGAGTTTAGAGAGGCTGGCAAGACTAGACCTCTTATAGCTGTTGGCACGGCTAGTGCGGCGACGCACAGCCTCAGAGAATGATGCAGAACGATCAGAGGACAGCCGAGGACGTCCGAAGAATGTGCCAGAGAATCTGTGGGGTGTATTCGTCGTCGTGGATGCACTGCTTGTGAGAGAAGGAACATCCTCAACTGACGTCTGTGGAAGATCCATGGACGTATTGTACGAAGGATTCGAGAAATTATGGTCACTTGTGGATGGTGTTTTTATCGACCGAGGGGCATCCGATGAGCAGCCGGTGAAGTCGGGAGACGGAAAGGAGGAATTCGAGACAAGTGTGCTTCCCTGGAGAGACAGTGGAGGGATGTTATATGTCAGCTCCATTGGGGAGGTGGTAGGTCGAGTATCAGCAGCCATGAATCGCGGAGAGACGTCGGGACTTGTAGGAACAGGCATGCGGTGCTGCCATGCTTCTTGCTCGGCGACATCGACTGAACCGCTCAGCGAATTAGAAAAGGGGTTGCCCGCATTCTGCAATTGATGGATAGGGTTTGATGCAGTACGAGGTCTGAGATCCTCTTGAATGGAGGAAGTAGCATCGGCAGTCGACATAATATGAGTTTCAGTTTCCTGAATCCCAAGACCAGTATGAGGTTGGTCACGGACCTCGTCAACCACAGGGTGGGCAGTAAGTGTTTCAGAGCTGCTTTTGCTTTCCTCGGACCTACTCTCAGCATCATCACGCGAAGTTGAGATGATGACCTGCGAGAGCGGGCGCTCAATATTTTCAGCTGGAGACTCGCTCGTAGCAGCCAAGAAAGCATCCTCTTCTTCTTCATACAGCACATCTGGATTCTCCAATGTCGAAGTATTCACGAATCGGTTGTTTCCCAGAAAACTGCGGTCAAAGGGTGGCATTTCAGGTGCACTCTCCGCACGGCGATGATAACGCATCTCTGGACCGACAAATTCACCTCGCCTACCACCACTATACATGCGCTTGGTAGCTGCCGAGAAACCACTTTCCGCAACACGACCAGAGTGCATGTCAGGCGTATTGAATGGCCCCAGAGCTGCATCCAAGTCGATGACAGGACTGAGAGCATCGTTTTGGGTTGTCTGTTCGTAGAAGCTCCTTGGCTTCCACGAATGCTCCAGAGACGGTACATTTGAATCATGAGACGTGGGACGACGAGCGTCTGGTGTAGCAGGATTAGTAGGCGTGCGGATAACAACAATGGTATCATCATCAAAGTCCACGTCTAGTCCCGATCCAAGGTCGGAGTTGGTTCTCGTAATCACAGGGGCGGGAACAGAAGGCTGAATGTTCTCACTCATGTCCTTCTTCGCATGGCGCTTGGCCTTGCCTCTGGTTAAGATGGCACCGGCCCATGAGCGCACCTTCTTCTGCCGCTTTTTCGCCTTCGAGATCCTCTTATGTGTATCGAAAGAATCTGAAGACTCGCGGGCATCACGATCAGAGGTATCCGAAGTGCTTCCCGTGTTGCTGGACGAGGATGAACGTCTTGACGAGCCCGCAAAATGATCTAGAATTCCCGAAGAAAAGCTTTTGCGGTTCCGAGAGTGGCCTGCTGCGGATAGCGGTCGCTTCAAAGATGAGGTATCCCCAATGGCTGAATCCATGTGCTGATCGAGCATTAGAGAAGCATCGGCAGTCCTGGGCCTAGGCTTGGGCTTCTCGTTTGAGAAAAGCTTGGGCTCAACTGCAGAGCTCATCTCGACAACGCCACTGTTTCTAGTGGAGAAGTCGGGATCCGATGCGCTCGTGGGTGCAAGAAATTTAGGCGACTTTTCAGGCGAAGTATAACAAGGTGAAGGGATGGTAGTCTCATCGCTTGATTTGACGGGAGTCGGGGGTTCTGTCTCAACAACGATTCGAGGGGACGCAGGTGGCGAATTTCGATACAGTATGGCAGCCGATTGTGATGCAGGTCGCGTGGGCTCGTCTGAAGCATGGTGCTCTCGCATCGGATCTGCCGGCATACAGGGAGCGCTTTCGACAGTGGGCTTCAGGTCCAGTGCATTTGAGATTGCTGTCAGGTCCACGCTAGAGATAGCAGCTGAGCGTCGGTGGGCATGACGCCGCTTTCCTTGGCTGCCTGCACCAAAGCCGGGACCTGGAGCAGGAAGTTTGACAGGTGTCGAGGCTGAACTCTCATCGTTGCCTTGGATGGCCTCTACGGGTCCAGGGATGGCTAAACGATCCCCACCCACAAATTCGCTGCATCGTCGCCGATGACCACCTGGTCTATTCATTGAGAGATTCGGCATTGACGGCTGTGCAGAGTGGTTAGACCCTGGATTGAACGAGAAAGCCGGAAGGGGCGGGGGAGTCCTGCGTCTAGTCGCTGGAGCTTCCGACGCCGTATCGCCAGGGTCTCGTGCCGGGAAGACAAAGGGTGGGTTTGGGAGCGGAGTTGACATGGTCAAGTTGCGGCGGCTGTGACCGACAGGTGACCGATCGATGGGTCGAAGATATTCGGAGAATGCTGGAGTGATTGGGTGCTGCGGGGGTAGAGATATCGAAGCCATGATGACCTGCTGATACTATGTAATAACTAAATATTGCAGATATATTCGGCCAGCCCCGTGGTTTGCAAATGAGTACAGTTGATGTAGCCCAAGCACACAGGGACCTCCAGACCGATGCGACTTCCCTAGTACGCTTTGGAAAGCCTGACTTTGGCTGGAGGTCTTTATTTGCACATCGAGACCATCGAATACCCCAGTGAGCCACAGATCCAACAAATTGATATTAATGAATGAGGTGGCAGTAAGAGAACCTCGTGATGATGTAACGGTCGAAGGCCGAGGGTTGAAGGCAGCGAAATGAACCGAACGGCGGCTAGACAGGAGCCTTCTCAACTAATCCGAGTTGAATCAAGATCTGGCAGACTCTCTTGAGGAGGAAAATCCGCAGCAAAAAGTCGTAATTAACTCGAGTTGGAGAAGCGTGCAGGCGACGAAAGGGGATTGTTGTTATCGTAAGGAGCGGACGGCCACGGGAACGGGCCACGGACGAGGAGGATGAGCGGAAGACTCGGCGGAGGGGGAGGGATAAACGAAGGAAGATAGTGAATATAGATGAGGAGCGGAAACGCAACGGGGGTGAAAAAAGCGAAGGAGGGAAGAGAGGAGGAAGTCGGAAAGAGAGTGAGAGAGGGAGGGGGAGGAGGAGGAGGAAGAGGAAAAGAGGGAGGATCAACCTAGGAAGAGAGGGAAAATGAAGTCGAAGGAAGGAGAGGAAAGGCTGAAGTGCAGCCAAAGGCTTGGTGGTGGAGAGAGAGGAGGAGACGGCGACGTATGGAGGAGGGCGGCAGGGGTTGATTGGCTGCTGGTCACCCGGAGGGGCCGCACCCGTACCTAGTATCGAACTGATACATCGTATTTACCACCAGGGCCGTCCGATCGCCCGCCCTCCAGTCAGTAACTTAGCGTATAGAGAGGGGATGGAGGGATGGCGAACGAACCACCTGCACCTCCCGGTAAAGAACGGAGCCCGTATCAATGAATGGTATCGGTCTTTACTCCTTGTTACCTAGCCTCAACTACTAGGTAGCCTCAAAGCAAAGACTGACACCGGTCAGTGCCTGTACTGTACCTTCCTAACTTACTAGTGAGTACTGCTAAATTAGGTTGATGGCCTAGTAACACCATTGTCATGTCGAAAATTCACCAATTCGAGCCAGCGATGATATGGGGAAATTGCACGCCTCTCCCACTGCGGAGTTGGCGGATGGATGCGTTCTCCATCTAGCTTGTAGATGAATTTACCAAGATCCACCACACCACCACCACCACTACGTACTAGCCTGCAGGCTCCCTTATTCTCCTCTTCTCTGCTTGGGGCATGTTCACGGTATCCCTCTCAAACGGTCCCTTCTAGATCTTACGAATACGGAGCTGGCCGGAAGAACTCTTACTTCAGCACCGTTGCCAGCAAGCCTAGATCGATAAGTCGCTGGAAACCACCCGTATCGGGCCAGATGAACGACGTCACGACCATCGACGGCTATCCGAGTACGATGCGCAATCCTTGGTTGAGACAAAAGCCTGATCCCTCCATGTGTACAGTAAGCCGGTGAATACCAAGAAGGAGGCAAGACAAGTCCCCACAACATCCGACAGGTTGAGAATCAGGGTTCTGGCATGAGCATAATTAATCTAAGTACTCATATTACATAGTATGAACAGTTGGGCGCAGTGGTCAATCAGAGAAAACTACGCTCATGATTGCGAAACAGTTGATATCCGACCCTCCTGCGGAGTGAATGGGTGGTCCGGTCGGAAGTCATGTATGACTATTGTTTCAATGCAATTGATTACTTTTTTTATTGTTGATGGTGGTTGTTGATCAATCCCTAATAATAATAATGTCACTACTGTACGGGAGTACGGGAGTACCGGGCGAAAAGAAAAAACCCCCCTCCAGGCATCAACGGATTTCACTAATCCGTCCGTACCTGAGCCGGACCTCCAATCAGCAGCGGTAGACAGGGGATTGAAATCTCGCTTGTCTCGGTGGAGGAAGGCCGAACGCCACCCACTAGACGCCTGCCGCTAACTAAATCCGGTGTTAGTTTAATTAGCGCTCTGGATCTCCCCTTGATTGAATGAGAAGAGCGAGCGAGAGAGTCCTTGTCCGCAACGCCGATTATTATTATTGCCAACAGGTGATCCTTGCCAAAAGGTTGACACGTCTTGACTTCTGACCAGGGGAAGAGGGAGGCGGAGGGATGAAACATCTCACCTGGAAAAGAAGAAAAAAAAAAATCCGGGACATCCCCGGAATTCGTCCAGTTCCTCAACAGACATCCAAGAATAGTTCTTCTGCGCTATCACCGTCGTTCTTCCATTCTTAGGGGGGGGAGAGATCTGCTTTGATGTTGTCTGAGGTCTCCCGAGCCAGCCCGCGGGCTTCAGGTTCTCACGGCGCCAATCTACCCTTGTCTTGTTACTGACCAAACTGGGCTTGCGCAATCGTTCCTGAGCGCCGCACGGTAGTAGTCTAGTCAGGACTAAAGAGAAACAGGAACCCCTGGTCACTGCCAATAAGCTTCCTCCATCCCTGTGGTCTTATCGTGTTTTCTTACCCAGTTATCACCTACTGCGCGCTAGGTCTCGCCAGGGATGTAAGGCACACGTCATGCTTATTATTGGCTACTGAGCTTGCTATCCCTCTTCCAGGACTGGGCACGGATTACCAAGGTTTCTGAACTGTTCATATGTGGCCCAGGAATCATAATGTCATGCTTTGGCGCCCTATATGCTAGGCATATCATTCAAGATTACCACTTGTTCTTAGCCATTTCGGCCGATCATAGTTTGCGTCGAGGGGTTGCCGCCTGAGGGCTAAGAAGGAGTAGTCGACAGAGACTCAGTACACCAAAACAGGATAAAAGGATTACGAGACCGTCAGCTATGCATCATGGTCTTTCAGCTCGATCGAAGTTCTGGCTAAGCGATTGCGATCCATTGCTACAGGCTGACACAATAGACTTTTGTAGGAACCTTGAAGGTTATACTACCTAGGTACCTAGTCTTTTGAGCCGGGGGGGCGGTTCTCTCTTTTAAGTGGACGGGGAGATTCCCCATGGCGTGGAGAGATTACCAATGATTCTTGTGGACAACAGCAACTGAATCATGGAGAATCACTTCCGTTGTTCTACTATGGACTTTGTAATCAATACTTCAATCTGGTCTCTTTCTGCCAGACAGTTGGCAAGGCAATTGCCTCTCTTATCGCACCTTACGACGATCTGCAGGAGCCTGACCTGGCCTATTCATTGGTGCAAGAAACACCGCTGATAGCCCCGAATCGTCGTTCTGCAGACGGCCTTATCCGTGGGAAGACAAGGGAGCGTACTCCGTACTAGTCTGAGTGTAAGAAATACAGTGGTGAATGAGCCACAACTAACACTGTACTCCGTCCTAACTCTGTAGTGGAAGATCAAAGACCCTGGGCAAAGGATAAACCGCTTGTCCCATGGAATCGACACGGAATGACCCATCAGAGGAATATTCACCTTGCAAAAGCGTGACTTGACAAGCCACCAAAGGGCAAGGGACAGTTCACTCTACATTGACCATCTACAGAGTACAGTAAGTTAGATTCCATACTGCAAACTCAAAGGCCCAGACCTATTCATACCAAGTCACGAGGTCGCAATGGTAATATATAGGTATGGCCACGGCCCACGAGACAAACGATTTCGACTCAAGTCTTCTCTCGTATTCCGAATTCTGAGACATTACGATCGGGATCAAGAACTCATTTGCCAGGTTCCTCCAGGCGCCTTACCGACAGTTCCGGTTGTGTGTCTGTGTTTGTGTCTGCCAGGCACCAAGAAGGGGGGGTGGAAGACATCCATCATCATAAACACAAACTTCAAAAGGCTTCTCTGCTGGAACGCAAGGCACTAAAGAGGGAATTCCTTTCCATTGTCTCGCAAAAAAGAAAAGTTTCGTCAACACTAACTTCCGTAGAATAAGTATCCATCTCTCAATCTCTTGCATCCACTCCACCTGTCTCTCTACATTACGGTCCACAACGGAATGCGGAGGGCAAAAACCTTAGAAAAAGTTTTTGTCTTTTCTCAGGTTCTTTGTGCCGAGGTCCCCGGGTTTTCTTTTCTTTGACTTTTGACCTTGGGGAAATCGGCGCCGATCGATCCCATGGTTTTGAGGCAAAAAACCATTTTCGTGCCTTTTTAGGGGGTTGTTTCCAGAAGTTGATTTCCATTCCATGGGTTCAGCCACATTGGAAACCCGATCGGTCCACTTATTTTTGTCGCATGTATCACCCGCAGCGGCGAAGAAACTATTCAAACTGTACGGAGTATACTTTACTTAGGTATTCCTGTGGGGTTGTGCTCTGGACGTAACTGGAAGACTTTAGGAATGCGAATGAGAGTAAAGCAAAACTAAATGTCATGCATGTCATTTGCGACACAAATGGTTCTCGGAGATTTTTCTTTTCTCCTAGGTCACGTCAGGATCATCAGAGGCGTTTTACCAAGGGTCTGGTCTTGTCAAATGAACCGAAGCTGGGCCTATAGTAGATGAGTATGGCGAGACTCCCTGTGTCCGGATGCCTGGTGCCAACGTCGCTCATCGACGATGTCCTGTTACAAGGACTTCTTCTGCTTCGCTTCAAAGACGCCCGGAAAGAGCCCCAAATTGCCATTTGTGTAGAATGATGAGCGTTGACAGCTCAAGATGAACTTTCCTTACGTGGCTCTGGACATAAACATAGAGATAGTGGTTCATACTGTTAGAGAAGGTCTTGCCTGGAATGGTCAGGGGTGACAAACAACTGGAATTCGAAAATTACTCCATTCGAGGCAGGGCCCTCCGTGGCATTTCCCTTACCGGGATATACCAGTTGATAGACGGCTGCGCATGTGAAATTACCTTCTTACATTGGGTTGCTGGGCTCTTGTGGTTTCAGCCGACAGTGGTGTTACATATGATGGCTAAAGGTAGTTTCAGAAGACTCCAAACCGCGCAGGGCGTATGAATATCATTGAAGTTCAATGGAGACTTCACTGACTCGCTTCTGCTAGATCTCAGACAGGTGCCGGATCAGTTTCAGATCTCAATTGTATCATGTGCACTTCATGAATTGCTTGCTCGCATATACATCATTGAAGATAGATGTCAGTGAAGGACCAGAGCTCTGAAGCAGCATTCACTAGACCAACCACTCTCCCAGTAGCCTTGGAATAAGGCATGCTATTGTCCCACAATATCTCCTATACAAAGACAACAAGCTCAGCCCAGCATGCCATCCACCTGACTTGAAGTTTCGTACTACTAATGAGATGACAAAAAAAATACGTGAAGAAACACGCTCAACGCTCAAATGCCACAATCAAAATTCGTTCTCTTGCTACGCTTCGACAGCGCCAGGAGAGATAGCAAGAATGACTACCAGAGTAGCTACTATCAACGCTGCAGCGACGATGGCGATCAGCCCAACGCTGCCACGACTGGCCGGGAACTTGCCCCGGATGATCCAGTACTGGCTCTCAAAATAGCGGTGAAAGCCAACCAGGAGGATGAGAATGGCAACGCCGATAAATGTGGTTCCTAGCGGCTTCCCGATGCTGCGGAGCCGCTGAGCGGCGGACGATATAGCGACACTGGCGGGATCAATATTAAGGGTTTGGGACGACGGATCCACTCCAGTCACATTCCCCGTGTTATTCAAACGGAACAGCTGGGTTACAGCTATTCCAATGGATGCAAACGCCAGCGAAGTTCTTAGCCAGGCAAGGAATGTACGCTCTACAAACATGTCAGACTGCTAATGTCGCGAATTTTGGAAGCTGAAACGAGACGGGAACTAGACACAAACGCACCCAAAGCAAGATGATCTCGGGCAACACTGCCCTTATTTTCTAGCTCTAAGCTGCCGTACTTCTCGGCCACTCGCCGGTACCAGGAGGCGTGCGGCTCCTCCGCATCTGACTGGGGTGCCTGTTGATCGGTTGGTCTTGCATCTCGCCGTTCCGGGATCCCGGCATGGCTATTCACGGACCCCGTTTCGCGGTTCCTGAGTCCTTCCGTAGATTGATAATTTCGCCGGGATGAATCGCTGTTCGAAACGATGGGCGTGCATTCATTGACTGGGTAGGATTGGCCGTGACTAGGTGTCGCAGCCGGCCCTTGCTCTGCGCTCGGAGAAGACATGCGGTGTGGCTCTCCTCGAGACGAACGAGGGGATGAAGGACTGTGTGTGAGAGAAGAGTCACCAGGCTTTTGGGTGCTTTGTGTGGTCAAATCGGAGGGTTCCATGATGGCGTGCTCACGGAGGCGCAGGGTTCATATAGCCTAGGGCAAGCTGTAATCAAGCAGACGCAGAAGAGTGGATAAGTAGTAGGATCAGAAGTTCCCCAGCTTTCGGAAGTTCTCAACGGCTGTGATGGCGATTAAAGAACCTCTATATGAGGTTGTAGACACGAGAAATTTGGTCCTTGAGGTGGATCTCTCTAGCCAAATATTCAAGCAACTCGTTCCTTCACCCCCTCACCCAGCATCGCGCGTTGTTTGGCGAAGTTACAACTTTTGTCGCTCTCTTAAGCAGCGCTACTAGTGACTACCGTACCACGCGCCCCAAGCCTGAAGTGGAATAGCTGGCTCTTTGCCTCCAAGGGACCGAATGGCCTTTGTCGATCACATGGTGATCCTCTCCGAAAGCACTAATCTTCCTTTGGGTAAAGCGTCATCGGCCCAGCCTCTGTCAAACGATCAGAAAAGGCGGTAGGATTCTGCCACGTGACCAGACTCATCCACATACCTTAACCATCGTTGGCGGGCGGTGGCAGATGACCGTCACCTTCGAAAGTGCATCATTCATTAGTAGTATTATCGTCGTTCTTCTTGGCCTTTCCTACCTGCCATCTCACTATGGCCTCAGAGGTCTCCGTGCCGAGTCTGGCACCCAAGCCCAAGATTGACTTGTCCAAGAAGCTTTCAGAGCTTCGAGCGAGCAAGAGCAAGTCGAGCACAGCACCCTCCAAGGAGCCCGCACCAGTCACCCCGCCTCTACCTAACCCTCCCGACCTCACCTCCCACCAATATACCCGGCCGGTCCGTCGAATCCTATCACGAAATGATCACGAACTCTTCCTCTCTTCCCCTACATACAAACTGATCCTCGGTTTCATCTTCGGACTCTCCGATTCCGTACGAGGACGGGCGACAACCGAAGCTGGCAAGCCTTCTCCCACCATCACCAAAGTACAGTCCGTGGTCGACCAAATACGCTCACTTCTTGAACGCCACCCTTCCCTCGACCAGAACGGCTCGCGCTTTGGTAACCCAGCATTCCGCGATCTGTTCGACGATGTCGCGAGACAGAGCGAGGCATGGCATCGAGACATATTCGGGTTCGAGGACCCGGCCCTTCTCGAAGAGGCATCTACATACCTTATCAACTCGTTAGGGTCACGGAATCGACTCGATTACGGCTCAGGTCACGAGCTGAACTTCATGATGTGGCTACTATGTCTCCGCCAGGTCGACCTGTTTTCGAAACCCGACTTCCCTGCGATTGTCTTCCACGTGTACGTGAGTTACATGCGGTTGATGCGCGACATTCAAACCACATACTATCTCGAACCCGCCGGGTCCCACGGTGTGTGGGGTCTGGACGACTACCACTTCCTGCCGTTCCTGTTCGGCGCCTCGCAGCTCGTGGCCCATCCTTACATCACCCCGCTGTCGATCCACAACATGGCGGTGCTCGAGGAAGAAAGCGACAATTTCATCTACCTGGATCAGGTGCGGTGGGTCGACAGCGTGAAGACCGTGAAAGGGCTGCGCTGGCACAGCCCCATGCTGGATGACATCTCGGGGGCCAAAAACTGGAGCAAGATTGAAGGCGGCATGAAGAAGATGTTTGTCAAGGAAGTTCTGGGCAAGTTGCCCATCATGCAACACTTCCTTTTCGGTAGCCTTCTGCCCGCCGCGCCTGGGATGACGGAGGTCACCGATGACATGGAGAGCGAGGAGCACGACCACGAGCACGAACACGGTCCTGGCCATGATCACACCGATCACCTGGATTGGTTCGGCGATTGCTGTGGCATCAAGGTCCCCAGCACGGTTGCTGCGGGAGCCGAGATGCGCAAACGAGGGGGAGGATCAGGGCTACGCCCGATTCCGTTCGATTGAAACCCATGTTTCATGCCACAGAGCACGAACCATGGCCCTTGAGGGACAACTAGGAGATAACATTATGACATCAATAGCATGAAACGTCAGAAAGCATAGAACATAGTCTGCCAATAATGAACATCGCGCCACTGGTGGCATTTAACCATCTCGCTTTTCGATTCATCAGACCGTATCTATAAGTAGCTCCAAGTCACTATACCCAATAAATAGCTAGTAACATTGAACCATAGGCCATAGTCTCAATTACCGAATTCCTGGATTACTTCTTTACGCATGATCACCTGACCCGACTCTAAAGCGGCAAGGCAAAATCACCCCAGCTAATCACCTTGATTATCTACCAAGTTCAACCTCAACCATATCATCGGTTAAATTTCTCAAACAACCCACCCCGAATCATGTTTCAATATTAAACACACTTTTCCTGGAAAAAGACAGTCCCAACCACCCCTCTGTCCAAGACAAGCCCCCCTCCCCCATGCCGGCCGACGAGTATTCGACGCCCGGCGGAGGCGGTAAGCTCAAGCTGAAGGGCTCCAAGATCGCCGATGGCCGCGTAGAGAAGAAGAAAAAGAAGAAGAAGCAAAAGGAAAACGAGACCAAAAAGGCTTCTCCCGAAGCGGACGCAGAGCAGCAGCAGCAGCAGCAGCAGCACCCAAACGAAAATGAAACCACCACCACCACCACGCCAAGAGATACGTCTCGTGCCCCCGATGAAGCTGATCATCCCGAGGAATCATCACCGGACGTTGGCCCGGCTGGCAAGACCGAGGCGGAGAGAAGGCATGAGGAGATGAGGAAGAGGAGGGTAAGTTTTCGCCGCCCTCTTATCATTATCCCATCGATCAGCCATTATCGTCTTGCACCACCTTCATTCCTTTTTGATCTATACCCTCCCTCCCTCCATACCCCATCCACCCAAGTGTAGCTAGCTATCACAACCCAATAAAAACCCCCCTTTGCACCTTGAAGTCGCACGCCATCCCCATACACCGGGGCAACAACAACAACAACAACCACCAAATAAACCCCATGGACGACAGCCAACTAACTCCACCTCCCACAGCTGCAAGAACGCCTGAAACGGGAAGGGGTCAAAACTCACAAGGAGCGCGTGGAGGAGCTCAACAAGTACCTCAGTCGATTGAGTGAACACCACGATATGTACGTGATCCGCGCCCTCTTCCTTCTGTGTCCCTCAAGGCTTTCCGTGTTTGCCTGCCCTCGTTGCCTTGACTTTCTTGCTACTAACCAACACATTCCTGACTTTTGCACTATACAGGCCTAAAATTGGACCCGGTTGAATCGCTACAGTACTTCAAGGATGGGATTGGGTTATGTTATTTATTTCGTTGTTTATGTTTTTGTTCGTGTCTGACAACAGCAACACTGGTTGTACTACTTACAAACTTTTTCGTGGTTTTTTTTTTTTTTTTTTTTTTTTTTCGGTGCCTCTCTTTTAGATGATTGTGATTTGAATTCCAAGGCACCCATCACCTACCAAGGCAACTTTTGACCTCGCTCAAAGCATGGTTGATGAGGATGGGGGTCGGAGCTTGAACAAAGCACTACCTACTAGGTACCTAAGCACCAAGGTTGCTGTCATATGACGAGTGCTACGTTGTGCACGCTCACTGGCTGGAGCAGACGAGGTAGTAGGTACCTGACGGAGCTACCGTACTGAGCTGGCACAAGACCAAACTACCACGTCCATGCTCCAACGCCGATCACTTGCGTACCTCATTCAATCTTGCTTGATGGGTGATATCCAGAGAATGCCTACGGGGTATGTGACGATGCTGCCTTTCACAGCAATAAATAGACTCACTTTTGCTAGGAAATATCAATTCTATCCAAGCTGATAAACAGAAAAAAATCAAGCTGTCTAGCGACGCATTCAACCACCTTCTGAAGGCCTATTTGGTGGGCACAGCTGCCACAACCTGCGATGAGCATTGATTCAAAGAAAGAAAGTAATCATTCACAACTCCAGAAGTAGTCTCAACGCCAGGCGTACAATATCAAAGATAAAAGACAAAGATGTGAACAAAACTCCCCCAAAAGCCTTGCTTATAAACCGCCAGGGTGCGAAACTGTCCGTGCAGTAACTGCGGAGCCCCCTTTAGCCAATGTGATGATTAGAGAAAAAACAAGAAACTCCGCCTTGCAAGAAATAGTATGGGCTGAAGAGAGACGAAAAAAACACCGTGCTAATCGATATATGACGATGCAGCGGAACGAAGAGGAATGTTGATTAAATGAGGTAATTGGGGCGTGCCGGGCGAAACCTCATACGCCCTTGATGACGTGGGTGCGCTCGCTGTTCAGCTTATCGGCATTGCGGGCATGCGACTCCTTCTTGCAGTCCTCCAGGCCGGTACAGGAGTGGGCTTCCAGCATGCGGTGCTTGGAGCAGTAGTGGCCATTGCAGAAGCTGCAGTCGCCGACAATGCGTTGAGCGGCTTCCTTGCACTCCTTGAAGTTGCAGCGAGGCTTGCGGGGCGCCATGATGGAATTAAGGGTGGCGAGAACGGGGCGGAGTCAAGAGGAGTCACCGGAGTAGGGACAGCCGATAAGCGCTTGCGTATGCGGCGTGCAAATTGGCGCTGGTTGGGAGAGGTCGCTGGTTGTCAACCGTGGGTGTGATGCGGGTGGTTGGAAGGAACCTGATGCAAGCTGCTGAAGCCTCAAGATGAAGAGAAGTACTGCCTCCTTTGGAAGAAGTAAAGGGTGACGTGGAGATAGTTGGTCGGTGGAGAGAGCTGTTAGGAGAGTCCCGGGGCGTGGTAGATAAGGAGTAGTAGATAAGAAGGGCGGTCTATATATAATCACCGGAGCAGACAGATGTGGCTGGACTGAAAGCAGGACCGTTGTAGGGACGGGAACAGCAAGGGTAGGTGGAGGAAGAGGGTGGAAGGAGGTGAGGCAGGTGAGGCAGAGTCAGGTTGAGTGGTGTAAGAAAGAGGGAGAGGACAAAGAGGCAGCGAAAGAGGTTTATAAATGAATTAGTAGGTGGCAGCGGCGAAACTGCAGCGCAAAGTCAATTTATAAATCGGGTAGGGGAACGGGTGTGATTGCGAAATCGGGTCGGGGAGGGAGAGAGGAGTGGTCAGAGGGGGTAAGTTAAATCGGTAGGTAGGTATGAATGACCTGCTGAGTCACTCAATAATATTAACTAGTTAGTTAACTAACTAATAACCAACTAAGTAGCTGAATTAACTCAATAATGGAGGTGCAATGCGCTGATCCAGCCTGAGGGAGAAAGAGGAGAAGGAGGAGGCAGAGATGAGGAGTAGGCATGGTTAGTTAGGCATAGGCATAGGCATAGGCGTAACATCCACTACTTACCAACCTTACCATCTTTACCTTAAAGCATTCAATGTTTTTTCCCTTTTAGTTGTTAATAGGATTTCACTAAGTATCGATCGGGACGGGGATTCGTCGCCCTTTCCTTAATTTTAGGCGCATCCGATTAGTCTAGATACTGACTACTGACTACTACTAGGTAGAAACTGACATTACTTGACTATACTACTACTACTGCTACTACTACTACTACTACTACTACTACTACTACTACTACTACTACTACTACTACTACTACTACTACTACTACACTACTAAACTGACCGACTTCTTGACAGACCAGACAGACAGACTGAAACTGTGATTCAAGACTCTCTCCTCTCTGTCAGGGCTGGCTCCGACTGGAAGGGACGACGAGGCCCGGGTGGAGGCAAATCAAGTAAGTGGAGCCAGAAGCTTCTGGGTTTCTTTAGGATTCCGGGCCTTCTGCCCTTCTTTCTTTCTCTCCGTCTCTCCGTCTCTCCCTCTCCCGGGCCATGTCAGATTACTGCTGCATCGGGGCGAGGCAAATGTTCCCAACCGTCTTGCCTCTGCCGGATGCGCACGAGGCTTTCTTCGGTACCGTTTTTCTCACTCACCATTTTTTCCCCTTATTCCGTTTTATTTCGATTTATTTTAATTTTCTCTTTCTTTAGACCGACCGGCCGGGTGACAAACGAAACAGTGACGAAGAATGGGGAAAAGAAAAGTCTAACTTAAGGTCGATAGACGATAAAAAATGGGTGTCATACACGACATCTGGGCTGGCATACCTTATTACACCTCATCCGCTCATACGTGTCCACCCTAGGGTGTAGACAAGGCATGAGTAAACCTGTACCCCAATTTCTCACAACACCACTCAAGTTAAATTACTGCCCATCCATAGGTTCCCTAATTTGCCGACCACAATCCTGAGGACTATATGTAGTTTGCTCTCAAGCATGGCATGGCATGGCATGGCATAGCATAGCATATAGCATGTCGCCATCCATGGCGCAATCGGCTGCACATAGTCACGATAAAGTTAGTATGCCGAGTTCATGGTAAGTTAAGTCAATTGAATCGGTTAGCTCCTACTCTGTAGCTCCAGCCGAGTCCTAGGTATCTACAGTACGTACAGTACACACTCCTCCCCATTGAGAAGGGAACTGGTCTCAACGGCTGCATAAAATCCTGGTCGCAACAGCCAGGTACCTTCGCTTCGTCCTCTTGTAAGTTGTCACATCCCAACCTGTTCTGAGCCCATAAACTCAGGGGCCGAGGCGAGGAAGAGGGGGCCGCTGTCCCCCCGGGCTTGTGGCCGAAGTCTGTGCACGCCAGAGGTGTAGCCTACTGCTTCCGAAGTAGCACCACAGCGCCAACAACTCCTTTTCTACTCCCAACCCTTGAACATTGAACATTTAGATCTTGCGCTGATCTGCACACCTCGCTTATGGTCAGTTACTTGTACCATGGCCGATCAGCCAACCCAGTCACGTGAAAGAGACGACATGCCGTACAGACTGCCAACTTGCTCGATATTCTTGGGTTCATGACCTCAGAACCAGGCACATCCGCAGTGCGCTGGTATGTGTGACGGTAACCCACATCAGGATCTTTATGTTGGCTCTGATGATGAGAGAGAATGGAACAACATATCATTGAACTTCCTGGGATTGGCGGGCATTGCGCAAGGCAAAGGCAAAGGCAAAGGCAAAGCCGGTGTTGCTCCCATGCATGCACCCTTCCTGTTGCAGCTCATCTGGTAGTGCTACCTTACTTGCTGCCTGGCACCCATGAGACACAACGTCCATGCAGCGACATACCCACAGAGAGGTAGGTGGATCCATGTACCCCAAAGTGAAGGGTGCACAACAATGAAGTACATGTACCAACCCTTTCCTTTTATTTATGGCCTCCCTCCCTCTGCTCCGTCTGTTATCCCTTTTCAATAGGTGCTACGCTCTTGCAAAGCGAGCCTGACCTGGACTAGCCGATACCCTGAGAACCCTGGTGCATTCCCACCGCCATTAATTGCTTGCTGTCAGACAATCGTCTTCCTATAGGAGGCGTTTGCATGATAGCGAGTACCCAATATCTTTATCCCCCTCCTCCCCGTTTCTCCTCTTCACTTTTTGTCCAAGGCGGAGAAAGGATGATTAAGCTATGTTGGGACGATCAGGACCACCTGCAGTGCACTGCACTGTTACCCCATACTTTCTTTCCCCAACCATCCAACCCTGGATTTTCCCCCCTCCCACACCCACACCCACACCCACACCCACACCCACATCTCTTGGGCAGGAATCTCCTCCTAACTTATGCCTGCTTTGTATCTCTCGTGGCCGGGAGTAGACGGTAGACCATTCCGCCCGCATCACCACCAACTTACTCTCCCGCCAACAGCAAATGTGCGTGCGATGTTGAGTTCCAGTTCCCTTCCCCTGGATACACGTCAATGCACAGTCTGTCAGAACCACCTCAGTTCATACTCTGCTCGACAATTGGTCTTACAATTCGCAAATCGCCTCTTCCTACCCCTCAGGCTAGATTGACAGTGACATGCACAAAGATAAAGGTAGAACTGAGTTTCCCTCAAAATCAACAAGCAAACATACTACCCTCGACACACAAAAGTGGTAAGATAATCAGTAAAGCGAACGGATCATGTAAGCAGGCGGATCAGCCACAGCAGCCACAGCAGCCACATTAACCACTTACGCCCTTGACTTTATAGAAGTTATTTAACTCTTTAACCCTTTACAGTGACTCTTTAAAGAATTGCGGTTTGCTATTTTGCTGCCTTTTCGGCGGCAGATGACGCCAAAAATGGCCGCCTTTCAGTAGCATCCCTCCGCCACGCTCCCGCGTCTTTCGACCACGCACCGTTCACTCACCTCTCCTGCCTCAGGCTGATATTCCGTTCGCGCTTATGTCCTTGGTTTCCTGAGGGCTCATCAGTCGCTTCACCATCGATCGCACTCTGGACCACTAAGGGGAGGGGGGCCTCCTTCAGTATCCCGCTTCCTGCACTCTGGTCAGCACCCAGCCGCCATGGCTACAAACATCTTCTTCTCAACCATCCTCCGTCGAACCCTACTGTCCTCATTTCGACTCAACCACGACTCCAGAGCACCCCCTCCGATCTTCCCTTGTGCTACCTTCTATTCAGTCGCGCTTTAGAGCGTCTCGAGCTCCGTGGCAGTTCCTTCGCACGGTCGGCGAAATCTTCGGGCCATGCATCGTCGGAGGAGGCTCAATGTCGGCAATTACGGAATCACACAGACGATGACACGGATGAGGACCTGGCCCAGGTGCCGGAGGATTGACCGATTTGACAACTGAAAGAGCGTTGGGCTTGGTCAGTGACCAGGATATCCTTGAAAGCTTACAGCGAGTTACCATCGACTGACCGACATGCCTTATTTCAGGTTCTGCCAAGTCAAAGCGATGGAGCCGTCCGCCGATCTAAAGTGGGTGGATGCGGAAGATGCATTGCGTGAAGCGTCTCCAAATGATATGCATCGATTTTCTGAACGGGGTGTCTGAAGCTGGAGTACAGTCCCGATGGTCGCCGTCAGAAGACTTTTGTCCAGGGTTCGTCAGTGACGCACAACGCAATGCGATCAAGAATCACGCTACTAGCAGCACGTTTATTAAGTATCATCGTCCCCGTCGATATACTGGCTCACAGGAGATCATGTGCGGCCTCAATATTGATGAAGAGTTCTCAAGGGCTGTGACCCGGATAAGCCGTTGGATTGATCGGAGGCGACCACGATACCGAAGTGATGCTAATCGGGCATCAGTGGAGAGTCCCAGAACTGCAATCGGCTATGCGTTGGCAATTCGAGTTAGAGACCCAGTGCGGTGACCGGCCTCATGGCCCAGCATTGCGGGCGATGCTCGAGGACCAGAAGCGTCAAGTGCACAATCTGCGCCGACGTCTGCAGGACAAACGGCGGAAGGAGATGCGCCGTGATTTTAGTCGGAAACAGGCGGTAATTGACATAGAAAGACAAATGACCGGTGGAGCTGCCAATGACGATCCCGCGCGCAAGGCATTACAGAAGGAATTTGCAACGCCATCGGAACAGATTCTTCTCGTGGAGACGTTCTTTACTTGACCAACCACTGATTTATTGGAAGATGAGTGGACACGGCGTAATAAAGCTGTTGCAGCTGGAGTGCAATATTGCGGCTTTCAGGAGTGTGGGCCACTTAGGGGACGACCGAAGCGCTCTGCACCGTCCGACAATGACGATGTAGTTCCCTCTCCGCCAGCTCGAAAGATAAAGACTGATACAGCGCAAACGTTCGCATGCTTCCAATGCCCCAAAGCATTCTCTGGCTATAATGGAGTGAAGAGGCATTGCAGAACATCACATTCAACGGATCGTAAATGTAACCTTCGTGATCTGTCCGTCTTGCACGAGATGCACCTGCGGAGGCATGCTGGCATCCTTGAGACCAGAGTTCTGTCCGGAATGTTCTGTAGGCCCGAGTTCTGCGGAGCACCAACATCCTCAGCTTATCACTTGATCCTCCTCTGCTCATGATTGATTTGCAACGCGCTAGCTTTGCAACTCTATGAGAGCCCGAGCAAGGGTTCTGACCGCGCCTGAAGGTGTGATCGCTGGGGCTCTAGAACCGTTCCGGCCTTCCAAACCCGCTCGCAAGCCTGACAGCTCAGGTTGGTATATACACTTTTACGTGCAACGAGGCAGCTCTTGAAATCCTCCACCATATTTACCCTAAGAGACTGTGCCTATACCATTCACAAGTGAATCCAATCTGCTCAGGCTCCCCCGAAGAAAGCATGCGAAGAAGCCCCCGTTGTTCCAGGTCCTGGCACAATTGCCTTTGCGAAGAAAATTCCTTCCCCAAGGAGTATTTTGGATCCATTGCATTACCATGATCGCCACCTGTCCGCTCAGTTGTTGCTGCCTCGCGGCGGAAACCCAGCGATAACAACCTCCTCCACAACTCTCCAAGGCCATAGCCCCATATTCCATTAATTATGCGACTCATGACCGTACGCCATCGGTCGTCGAACACGGTTGTGACAGAGGTTACCCCTTCGCTGCCTTCTTTTCTGCTTTCGTTCCTTTCCATCGCATCGGTTCTTCGTTCGTTCAATAGTGCCTTCGTGTGCGCAGCTAACTCCGAAACCGTGGCATATCTATGATGCCAACATCTATCAATGATCGTATCAATCAAGGGATCGCCATCCAAGTTCGGAAATTCCATGTTCTGGAGTAACTCCACGACCCTAGGACCGTGGTCACCACCATCGCTTGCTGGTCTCGAGTGTGATTCTTCTGGATTCGTGAAGACAGTGACATGTCTGGAAGTCCAAGATCAGTGGGTAAGGTAGCCTCCTTTTGGCAATGCTTGATCAGGGGTGGGTCGTCGCACCTCTCATGTACTCGAGGAAGATACCACTGTTGGAAAAGTAAAAACACTGCACAATCGAGGGACAGGGCGGATTCTCCGAGAAGATTTGATATATCTGCAGCTCTTTGTGGAATTGCTCTCTCTCAAAACCCCCGGACTTCGGGATTTTGACCACGATGCGAGGGTGGACCTCATACACAAAAGATATGCCTCCGCTCCAGATCCAGTGGACACCGGGAAACTGGCGTTGGATATCCATGGGTGGTGAAAAGTATGGTACTGGAGAGAAGTGGGATCTTCTGGAAAAGAAGCGACAGAAAGCAAGTCTTGTGTATTTATTTAACAGGGGAAGGGGGAAAGGAAGCTGAGATACCACATACTAGGTACAGTACTAGGTAGGTATGAGTAGAACTGGAACGGGCGGGTCCAGGCCGGGGGGACGGGGCAGTAAGTTACCGGACAACAGCTAAGGCGCTGGATCTATTGGGAGATCGACCTTGGAAAGTCTAGGTCGTAATGAATCTCGACCGTACATATATGGCTGGCAACCAGAGCGATCTGCCAACGGACCATCACTTTGACGTACTGTACATTTAGGAGACAGTACAGGCGGCATGGGCTTCTCAAAGCCATGGCATCTGCAGTGTACTATGTAGCGTTCCCTGCAGGAGGATTGATTGTCAAGGCTCTGTCTGGCACCTGGCAGTGGCTCAATACTACGGAGTACCGATTTGGAAACTCACGAGTAGGTGCGGGGTTACTCGATTGCTTCCGCTGCGGCCCGGCGAAGCCCGCAAGCAGGAGACCCACTTGTCGGCACCGCTGGGATATGAGTTATGAACACGATAGACGTTCTTGTTGAGGAGATGTTCTTTGTCAGGAGGTTCCTGGGATGAACGTCCGTGCTCAGCCACTCTAACTCCATGGGCTCGTGGTTCCCTCCCCTGGCCTGATCGCTTACCCAGTTACCACACCCCCTCGGCCGGTAAACCCGTTGTGTGACTGTTACCGACGTCCAGGTGTCCGTCCTCAAGCATAATCTCACTGGTCACCGACCGGCTCCAATTATGGTAGGAAGCTCGAACTCATGTAGCAGGACGGGAAGGCCGTATGTATGCATTCTAAGTTGGTTTTCTTTTATCAGAAAGAAGAAACAACGATCAATTTGAGAAACGCCTTCGCCGCTTGATATACACCAGTCAACCCTTGGTAGTCATTAAACAAAAGGAATCACATCAGGAATGTCCAAACGCAGAGACACACACACACACACACACACACACACACACACACACACACACACACACAGAACTTAACCATGCGAACGACAAAAAAAAGACAAAAGAGTCGTTCGTTCACACATCAGATTCCGAGCTCTTTCTCCTTTCCAGCATCCGGATCCAGGTAATCCTCGCCCTCGGCCGCCTCGTACTCCCCAACCAGGTCCATAACCACAGCTCGGGCCTCGTCGAACTCCCCTAGACCATCCGAGAAGGGACTCTGCTTCTTGTATTGCTCTAAGAAAGCGTTGCGCTTGCGCAGGCGGTCGTACTGCTGAACGATCCGCTTGAACAAGGTGGCGACCGAGGTGTGGTTGGCCAGCATCAGACCGCTGACGCGGTGCGTGTCCTGGATGTATGGTGATTTCTTCGTCAAGGCCACCTGGATGCTGGCGGGTCCCCACGGGATGAACGACGCCAGGCGCCGCTCGCGGATGCGGAGCAGCGACTTGTGGACGTCGGTCGGGTCGGCTTCGCCCCGGATGATGTTGAGAATGCTGATGTAACAGCTGGATTTGCTGGGGTTGATCGACACCATGCGGTTCTTGGGCTGCAGGAGTCGGCGCATCACGTCCAGGACGGTCGTCTTCCGGATGGTCTTGGCCTGCTCGATGTTGTCGCCGGTGAAGGGGGTGTAGGAGGTGATGAGGAAGTGGCTGCGCGGTGTGGGTATCAGGGAAGCGATGATTCCCACCAGGTCGTTGTGCATGTAGCCGGGATAACGGAGGGTGGTGGTGGAGGCGGACATGACGGTGGATACCTAGAAAGACAGTGTTAGGGACACGTCCGTTTCCTTTGCTCCTGTTGTCTGCGCATGAGGATCATACTAGCTGATTTGTTTGTTGGAATGATGGTTCTTGCACATGGAGTCTGTCGGCAACGATTCTTGAGAGAGCCCCATTGTCCAGCACAACCTAAATATGAGAGACAATTATTTCAGCTTGTACCGAGAACATCCCGGCAGGGTACGTAGGATTCAAGGAGGTCTTACAACGGAGTCGGCATTTTGCGTCAACCGTCGCATGGTGAGCAGACTGTTGTATGGGTTGACGACCACGTCCACAGAGTGGGTATCGGGAAAGACAGAGTATGTCTGCATTAATTTCTTGGGGAATCGGTCGTTCATCCGCTCAAGGATAAAGCTGCCCAGACCAGAGCCGGTGCCTCCTGCGATCGAATGCAAAAACATGAATCCCTAACATAGTGCGATGTCAGCCCCATGATTCGAGCGACGGATTGAAGTGCCGGTATTTGTGTGTCTCCTCCTTAGGCGCCATAAATCATACCTCCAGTGAATCGCTCCCATCCGCTTCTCGATCGATCATGTCGAAGATCTCCTCCTGGACAACTTCACCCGCGGAATAACCCGCACCCCAGTTGTTTCCTGCGCCAATGCCCTGCTGTCCGATGAAGAAGTTCTCGGGGTTGTAGATGTTTCGGTAGGGACCGGCTTGAATAGCATTGAGGACCTGGTTGGGAAGCATGAGCTCATGATCTGTGCACTAGTATAGACGTGTCGATTGGTTGCTGCCGAGGGAGGGTTCGTACTCTGGGCTCAAGATCCAGAAGGATCGCTCGGGGGATATATCGAGTATCATCGCTCTAAGAAGAGAAAAGGTTGTTAGACTTGTTTGTCCAGGCACCCAAGCTGTGGAATCCGCGGGCGTACCTGGTAGAAGAAGACATCCTTACGGTCGCCGCCTTCAGTTGCGAAATCTTCTAAATTGCCATCCTGACTTATTCCGTGTTCGAGACAAAGCTGCTGCCAGAATTGCGAGCCGACTAAATGACATGTCAGTCAGTCCCAGCGCTCGAGCAAAGAAACACATTCTTGGGAAGCTATTGTTGTTTGCGATAAGAAATAGTGTTGGAGCAGGACTAGGTACCATTGTTGCCGCACTGGCCGGCTTGGATTGTGATTATTTCTCTGATCTCGGAATTAGCAATGTGGATGATCAGATAGAGGACCTGAGACTGATTACAAGAGAAGCGAGATTGTGGCACATACCTGGGCATCTTTCTGCTTGACCACCGTCAGTAGTCGTGGTTTTTGGCCCACGCGTAGCGCGTTCCGCGGGGAAACTTCCAGCTTTCAATCTAGGTTAGGTGTGGCGGCCTCAGGCCAAAACTGCTACCAGCAGGCAGCTTCTACAACAATGAACTTGCCTGGACTTGACCGCAACGTGTTCTTGCCCGACACATCTCGTTTGGAGAATGCTACTCATAAGAACATGGATCTCTTTTCTTAGCTTACACATCTCCGCGAGTGAGCGGGATATTCACGCATTGATCCGCGCTACTGACTGATGTGCACTCTCATCGAAGCTTAGCCGTACTATTTGACGGATGGCCAGATCGCTGCTGTTCTAAATTCAACAACAGGCCCATTAAGAGCCTCTATCCCACCCTGACCTGCCCAGAGCAACAATATTTCTGTATGTACAAAGGAGGCCGAATGTGGGCTTGGTTCAGTAACCGACTTTGCAAGCTGTCACAAGCATCCCCGCCCCGGCAGCAACCCCGTCAATGATTCTCACTTGGCAGCCCTTCTGCCGACCATATGCTCTCACACAGCCTTCTCGGACCGCTTCTTCCATGCCTACCATACCGGCGCAGCCCATGCAGATCGCGCCCACGGGACGTTGCGAGCCTTTGAGGAGTCGCTCAGTTGCTTCAACAAGCCGTCTTCTCACTTCTTGGGGAGGAGTAGTGTGCAGCTCAACGGCAGTCAGTCCTGTAGTCTCAACCCCAGCAAAGTGGCTAATGCTACCGTCGCTTGAGTGACCGAGCATGTCAGCAACGGCACTGCTGAGCTCCGTCTCCCAGATTTTGCCGGTGGAGATGATGCCGAAAGTTTCCGGCGACTGGGACTTGTGGAAGCCATGCCCTGATGCGTACTGAAACGAGCTGACCACGCCCAGCGAAGCTAGCACTCCAGCTTCGAAAATACCCGTGACGTACTTTCGCTTCACTTTCTGCTCCGATGGCACGATGGAGGTGTTTGATTCCTCGATCTTGCGCACCTTTTCCTTCAACATCCCCACAAGAGGGTGTGCTGAGAAGCAACATACGATAAAGCCGTCATATTCGGAGATGATGCGCTCAAGAAACGGCATGCAGTAGAGAGCCGATTTCACCGAGTCTTCGCCCGAGTCAATGCTGGGCACCCCCTCCACAGTGCTGCCGTCCGGAAGAGTGACGGTTTCCGAGACTGGGGCTGTGAAGTAGTCGAACTGAGTACCCCCGTGGCCGAGATTATCCAACAGTGGGATTAGCGCATTGGTCATATGCGACGAGGTGTTCGGGTTGATGACCAGTATCGAGCATGTGTCCTTGCTTGGGGCGCTCATCTTGTAGAAAGTAGTGTGGCAAGAATGAGATCAGGAGTCGGGCGCAGGTACAATGATGGTATGGCCAAAGTATGTTGATGAGTCAAGCTCATCAGAGTTCACCAGATGCCGATAGCGGATTTGTTAGTAATTGTTGCCCAACAGTGAGAGCTGGTTACCCAAGGAAAGGAAACCAAGCCATCATCAATTATGCTACACATACTAAAACAAAATATGCAATGATGCTTAAGTCAGTCAAGATGTTGATACTGACTCAGAAATTATGGTAGCCGCTGCCGATCGAAGCAGAGATATACAGTTGCTCGGCGATGCCGTCGGACGGGCGGGGTGTGGGTTGCGCCATACTCAACTAGTCAGTCAACTATGGCGGGGAAGGTGACAAATACAGCTCTTATCTCTCTAACACCTGCTTTCATTGTATTTCCTTCATAACCCATCCTTTCTCGACGAGGATCAGTCTCAACCATTCTCTGATAAATCTCCTTATCCCCAGACATTACATTTCAGGTAATTATCACATTCAGCAATACAGCCAATTGCGAAACCCGGCACAAGCTAACTTCCTCTTAGCTCTACTGTACCCCGCCTAGGTGTCTAAACGCTGAGCCATTCGCCTTATATTCCACCATGCCTCTCGTCGCGCAGAACCCCCTACCAAGGGTCATCCTTGGGTTGATGACATTTGGTCCGGATGAGTCTGCAGGGGCTCGGATCACCTCAGTCGACGAGTTCAACAAGTGCCTGGACCTTTTCCAACAGCAAGGCTTCAATGAGGTTGACACTGCGCGCACATATGTAGGAGGACAACAGGAAGCTTTCACTGCTCAGACGAAGTGGAAGGAGCGTGGGTTGACATTGGCCACCAAGTGGTACCCCGGGCAGCCGGGCTACCACAAGCCACATGTCATTCGTGAGAAACTCGAGCTCTCACTGCAGAACCTGGGCACAGACTGCGTTGACATCTTCTACCTTCATGCTGCCGACCGCTCGGTCCCCTTCACGGAAACCCTGGAGGCTGTCAATCAATTGCACAAGGAGGGAAAGTTCGTCGAGCTCGGTCTGAGTAACTTCACTGCCTTCGAGGTCGCGGAGATCGTCACAGTCTGCAACGAGAGAGGCTGGGTACGACCGACCATCTACCAGGCCATGTACAATGCTATCAGTGAGTCGCTTGCTCGGGTTTCTGGAAATCATGACGCCCCATGATAGTACTAACCAGCCTTGCCACAGCTCGCTCCATTGAAACCGAATTGGTTCATGCTTGCAAGCGGTATGGCATCGACATTGTGGTGTACAACCCGCTTGCTGGTGGAATCCTGTCTGGAAAGTACAAGACCCAGGATATTCCCGAAGACGGCAGATACAGCGATAAGTCTTCCACTGGCACGTTGTATCGCAAACGCTACTTCAAGGACGCGACCTTTGACGCCCTGCGGATCATCGAGCCTGTCGCAGAGAAGCACGGTCTGACATTGCCGGAAATTGCGTTCCGCTGGATCCGTCATCACTCTCTTCTAAACATCAAGGAGGGTGGTCGAGACGGCATTATCGTCGGTGTGAGCAGCATCGCTCAGCTAGAGAGCAATCTCAGAGACATCCAGAAGGGCCCGTTGCCCGAGGAAGTGGTGGAGGCCCTGGACAAGGCATGGCTGATTGCGAAGCCCACGGCGCCGGATTATTGGCACCTTGACCTGAAGTACACATATGATACGAAGGAGGCATTGTTCAAGCCGAAGGCCAACGCCTAAGTGTGGTGCGAGTGACAGTAAGTTAACGGAACAAGACAAATATGACATCAATGAGTCTCGATATATGAAATCACTCCATCCAATCGCAAGCTGGTTGTCACACACTTTTCTACATATCTGAAACAAAAGAAGGAATTAGGGCCGGGGACATTGTGAGCACGGAAACCCTTGATAAGGAACTGAAATTGCCAAGCTGCGTGGCTCGATTTACAACTCACATGTGATACGGACGTAACAAGAAAACGCGCAACCTCACATGAGGTTGGAAAAGGGAAAAGGGGGGTGGCCGAATTGGCAGCGATACCATGGTACTATGGTGAGTAGTAAATTGGCAGTAAAAGTGGCGAAAGGCATGCAGCACGCAGTCAAATCGGAATGTATCATTGTAAGCCGGCAAAGTAGGCCATCACGAGTCGATCGAGCATCAAAAGACGGGATGCAATTGTTGTTCCAAGTTACGGAGTACGGAGTAGATAGATGGAAGATCACATGAACAGCAACCCGTGGAGGGTCTAGAGCATCGATGGCATTCCACCCACCATCCACCACCCACCACCCATGCTGCAGCTTGGTCGGTGTCGCATATCGCCGACAGGCTGAGGAGCATATTCGGAAACAGACGCCGCCGAATGGTTTGACTGCGAAGCATTTAGCTCTGTGATCTCTATACAAGGCTCTTTCTACGTCAAGTTCAACAAGAGCGGCTACCGGTACGTGCAGCATCACGGTTATCCCCGTTCTCGACCGGAACGGAACAAGATTCCCCTCCAATTCGCTATAGCTGGGTGAACTCTTTTGTTCATCGTACGCAACGAGACTTCTATTCTGAGCTATCGGGAGTCGATCCTCGCATACTACATGGTCCGAATCTGTCGTAGCCTCAAGGCCAGTCAGTCCCTTACATGAATCTAGGCCCATGTTCCAAGACTAATCTGGGGAAGGCGTCTGACAGCACCTCTGCCACATTTCTCACTCACGGCCTCAAGAATCCCTAGTCTCAGGCCTGTCGCAAATAACTCCTTGACAATGCGCTTATCACTTCCTTGCGTGACCATTCCATGAAGATACTGTACATACTTCCTATCCGACTTGCCAGCAGCACCGGACTATGGGATTTTGTCACAAAACTCTAATCCTCAAATGGAGCCAGACTCAGAGGAATTCGAGGAAGGCAAAGCTGGTTTCCCTCTCGCTCCTGACAAGGTTGTTTCCATCGCTTGCGCAAATAGGTCCTGGCGCTCGTGCTGCAGTGATACCTTACTACTATGCAGCGCGAACTACCGGCAAGCGCCGAACGCAAACGAGCCTCGACAGCCCAAGGAAGACTGCATCAAGGGGGCCCGCAGCTCTCTCAACCCATGGGTCTCAGTCGAAAACACCTCAAGCGCTTGAGGAGCCGCATCAATGCTGGGATCTAGATTCCGAGGTCACACTGATATCTGCTACCGGGACATGGGTGAGAAGAAAAACCATGAGGGTGGCTTGACAATAGTCCCCTTGCCTGCCGCTTGGCTGTTGAGAGTTGCAATGAAGGACTAAAAAACTACTTAAATTGTCGATTGACCTGGTGTGGCGGTCGAAGATTTACTCCGGGGGTTGATCCAAGTCGCAATTGAGCCTATCCAGGCACCCCGGAAAAATCATGTCGCTTGTCATTGCTCGCTCGGCTGCACGCAAGCAGAGCTTAACAGTGCTCTCTTCCACAACGCTTACATCGGACGTCGAGAAAAAGGCTACGGTCAGTGTGACGGAGAAGCCTTCAGCATCTATTGGCGATGGGCAACTTAGTGATGATGCGGTCGAGTCTCATCGCTTCTGGTTTCAACGGTCCAAGACCTACAATCCACATGCTATCGCGACGCAGCCGTCGGTCTTCGACGACCCAGATTTAGCGGAGGAGTACAAGCCACGACCGGACTGGGAGAATATACATCGGTTCGACCCAGCAGCACGATGGACCAGAGGCGAAGAAGATGTACCTCCACCTCAGGAGTCAAAAGCATAGTTGGTGTTGAAAGCTAACTCTGATGCAGAGCGTGGTCAAGAAGCTCGATATCCGCATAATCCTATGGGCTTGTGTGATGATAACTGCGCTGGAACTCGACAGATCCAATATCCGTATGTACCGCCGCCCCTGAAAAGCTTCGACCCTGTCTGTCGACTAGTTTCTGACCGTACCAGAGCAAGCCAACGCGGATAACTTTCTGACCGACCTGAATCTTAGCCGCGATGGTCAGTGAGCACCTATCACACCACGCCGCTGTACTGACTGCTCTGCCCGAGGTAGATTACAACCTGGGAAATACGGTGTATAGGTTGTGCTACCTGTTAAGTGAGATACCGGCACAAATTATCGGCAAGAAGATCGGCGCGGACCGCTGGATTCCGATCCAGATGATATCGTGGTCTATAGTCGCTACTTGTCAGTTCTGGCTGTCTGGCAGGACGTCTTTCCTAGTAACCAGGGCTTTGATTGGTATCTTGTCGGGAGGATTCACACCCACGGTAAGTGAGTTCGAATGATGGCTAGGTGCTAGGAAGTTGTTCTGACCGGCTCTAGATGCTACTTTACCTGTCGTACTTCTATAAGCACCACGAGCTGTCAATACGTCTTGGCTTCTGGTACTCAGCTTCTTCGCTAGCCGACATACTGGCGGCCCTTCTGGCATACGGCATCTTGCATCTGGGAGGCCGTGGTGGTCAAGCTGGCTGGCGATGGCTTTTCTTGATTGATGTCAGTCACGTTCTCCCAAGCCCCAGAAGACTGTTACTCATAGGATTTAGGGTCTTTTCACTCTGGCGTTGGGACTCTTGTCCTTCGTCTTTCTGCCACCTGGACCTACTCAGACTGCAAACTGGGCCCGAGGTAAAAATGGCTGGTTTACAGAACGGTATGTGGCTCTCTAGTCAAGCTTGTGCGACCTCTGAGCACTGAAGTCAGCTACTTCATAGAGAGGAAGTTATCATGGTCAATCGCATACTACGCGAAGATCCTAGTAAGGGCTCAATGCACAACAGACAGCCTTTGACAGCGAAGCTGGTGTGGCTTAGCTTCAGCGATTTCGACCTGTGGCCGCTGTACATTGTCGGGATCATGTTCCTGACCCCCTGGAGTGAGTGAAACTACTTTGATTCAAGCTCCGCCCGTCAGAAGAAAAGTCTAAGCTGATAAAATGTGAACAGCAACGGTCTCGCAGTATTTCACTCTGCAACTGAAGGACTTCGGATTTGATACCTTCAACTCCATTCTTTTGTCTATGCCATACAGTGTGCGTGCGAGACCAGATGGTTGATTGTTTGTTGAGTACCAGTAGTGAGATGCTAATCTGCTAACGATAGGTCTTCATGATCATCACCCGAATCATCCTCACGTACGCGGGCGAGTATTTCGAGTCTCTATCATGGATGGGACTCATCGCCCAGGTCTGGAGTTTGCCAATGTTGATTTACATGAATGCGGTGGACCTCAGCCAAACGAACAAGTGGGTGGTGTGGACTGTCCTCACCCTGTTTCTCAGCCTCCCGAGTGGTGAGTGCATGTCCGTTGGAGGCTGCTTCTGCTGTTTCAGCTTCGGAAATCACTATGGTTACTGATGAATCATATATGCAGCTCATGCACTCCAAGCGGGGTGGATTTCCCGCAATTCGAATAGCATCAGAACTCGGGCCATTGCGGCGGCGATATACAATATGTCTGTTCAGTTGTCTGCCATCATCTCCTCAAACATATACACAGATGGTGAGTGTTGATCATTTGTGACGCATCTCGGAAGCATTCCTGACTGACTATGGATGCGTCCGTTGTGTGTGTAGGAGATGCACCGCGTTACATCGTCGGCAACCGAGTGCTTCTGATACTCGTGGGCGTTAACATAATACTCTACATTGCTACTAAGGCTTACTACATGCTGCGAAATCATGAGCGAGACCGACGTTGGAACTTGATGACCGAGGAACAAAAGCTTGACTATGTCGCGACGACCAAGGATGATGGGAACAAACGCATGGATTTCCGGTTTGCGCATTGATATGTGGCGGAGGAAGATCTTCGACATGGGTAAACATGATGATGACAAGGTTAGACAATCGATAATTAGCAGCAATCCAAGATCTCTTTCTCACGTTGCCGGGGGTGGGACGGAGGAGGCATCAGGGTGTCGTAATAGCAATTCTGCTCAATCAGATATTCCAAGTTCACTTTGTACAGTGTACTCCGTATGCACACCAGGCTGTACTCTGTATTGACCTCCAGGCTGTCTAAGACAAAAGACCCCATCCGGCGACTTGGCGGGGAAGCCCTTGAAAGCTGGAGACTCGCTTTGAGTCCCCACACGTGACTAGCCGGAACCGAATTAGCGCTGCACCGCCGCTGAGTTCCGACTCGCTGTTGAGTGAGGCGGTGAGGGTTTTATTTAGGGGGGCGGTGGTCCCTGACTCGAAAGGGAATAGCGCCAACTACCTTAACGGATGCAATGCAACTGCGCATGGACTCGACTTATTAGTCCCCCCTTCTACTAACTACTAACTACTACCTCGCTACCACATACTCCGGACTTACAACCATCTGGTTGACATCCTGGTACCCTTCAAGCCTTCCATATTTCGTCTTTTTCTTTCTTTACTCTTCTCCCTCCCTCCCTTACAGCAGACCCTCTTTCATTTTCCTTGGGGCTTGGCTCGTTCCTCCTCCCTTCCGTCTTACTGTCCTTGCCCCGACGTCCCCACAATTATATTACACGAACGACTTTCGCAAACGTGGCCGCAGCGCAGCGGTTCGAAGTACTTCCCTCCCACCGGAGATATCCTACACATACGAGGCTGTATGCCTTGCCCTCAAGACCTCATCATCCGCTTCTGTCCCGCAGGCAACTGACCCGCTGGGGCTGCAATTCTTCCTTCGCTAGGCCCCCCACGTGAACGTTGGGCTCTTAAACCTTCGGCAATCCCTCCAATTTATCCTTCCGTCCACCTGAGCTGCCGGTTGTTCCATCGGCCGATTGCGCGGCTTACCCGCCCACCTTCATCCCACTTTCCGACGCACGCTTCGTCATAGTCGCTCCGGCTCATACATAATAGAGACAAGGAGCAGGCTTCCGAGTCTCATTGTCGCTTTTCTCGCGTTCCTCCCTTCACACTTTTTGTTCACACCCGTCAATCCAGATAATCCGCACAAGGTGGCTGCAGATAGCGTGCCATTAACGGGTGTTGGAGAAGCCCGGGATCTGGATCCGGCCCTTGACTTCCACGATTCGGACGATGAAATGCCCATGAACCGCCCTGTCATGCATCGACCCGCTGACGGCCGCGCCCAACAACCGCTGCTCAAGGATGAGCGTCGGGGACGGCTATCGAATGCCAGCCTGGGCAATGGTGATGCAGAAGGCAGGCCTATGCTTCACCATTCCCGGCGACCGACCATCCGCGGCAGTAGTCCCGAGCACAGCGCGGAGCAGGCGACGCGCCAAAAATACATGATTGCCTCGGGGTTCCTGCTTCTGAGCCTGGCGAGTTTCGTGGTTCAGACGGAGACCGCGGTATACATTCAGCACGAGCTGCACTGGGACAAGCCTTATTGTATGCTGTAAGTTTGGAATAGTCGATCGCTGGCTCACCTCCGAGACTTCTATGCTACTCAAGAGGCTAACCTTTCCCCGCTGCTACCTAGCTATCTCACACATGGTTCATGGGCGCTGCTGTGGCCGTTCCAGCTCCTTATTCTTCGCTTGCAGAAACGCAAACTGTCCTGGGCGGCGTTCTGGCGCCGGCATGTCTATATCCTTCGCACGACGGCAAAAATGGTGGAGACCCAGGATGTACACCTCACCTCTCGTGATTCTCAGCGATCGCCTATCCCGTATATGCTCCGAACAACGGCGTTTGTCACCACCGCTCTCACAATCGCCGGAGGCTCCTGGTACGTTGCGGTCAACATGACCACGCCGAGCGACCTGACCGCTATCTACAACTGCTCCGCCTTCTTCGCGTATGCCTTCTCGATCCCCCTCCTCAAGGACAAACTGCGGGCCGACAAGATCATCGCGGTCGTGGTAGCCATCGTCGGGGTGCTCGTGGTGGCATACGGGGATCGCGACGACGGCAAGAAAGGCAAAGCGCACGACGAAGCCGAAAACCGGTTGCTGGGCAATATCATCATCGGTATCGGCAGTGTGCTGTACGGTCTGTACGAGGTCTTATACAAGCGGTTCGCGTGTCCCCCGGAGGGCACCAGCGCCGGACGCAGCATGATCTTCGCGAACACGTTTGGCAGCCTCATCGGATGCTTCACGCTCCTTGTCCTGTGGATCCCCTTGCCCTTTCTGCACGTCATTGGTCTGGAAACCTTCCGCTGGCCGACCGGCGAAGCGGCCTGGATGCTTCTGATCTCCGTCCTCGCCAATGCCAGTAAGTCAAAGTCCGATCAAGCACCCCCATAAACCGAGTATTGAAAAACAAACTAATACCACCTCTCTGTCACAGCATTTTCCGGCTCCTTCCTCGTCCTGATCTCCCTGACCTCGCCCGTCCTCTCCTCCGTAGCCGCCTTGCTGACCATCTTCCTCGTGGCGATCGTCGACTGGCTGCGCACCGGTCAGCCCCTGTCGCTGGCCTCCATCATCGGCGGCGTCCTCATCATCGTGGCCTTCTTCCTCCTCAGCTGGAGCACCTACCGCGAGATGAACGAAGAGCGCAAGAAGGTCCTCGCCAACGAGCAGACCGAGTCCGACTCCGATGAATAAACAAAGTCACAGCCCCTATAATAACCCAAAGGGGCAGGCAGGGGCAACTGCGCCCCAACACCACCACCCCACCATCTATATATTCCCTCGATATCCATTTGCCTCTTCGCTGGTAGAGACGGGCCTCTGGTTCTTTTTTTGTCTGTGTTATGTTCCTGCTATTTCATGGGCGTGTGCTGTATGATGCGTGGCCATACTCGCTCACATAATATCTTTTTTTCTTTTCCACCTTGTCTTCTGTATAGGTCATGCATGTTCCCCCCTGCCTTTTTCTGTATTCTTGGGATCATAGAGGCCTGTGTCCTGCATTCTTGAGGAGTTTTTGTTTTCTTTTGTTTTCTTCTTTCGTTTGGTAGAAGATATATACACCACATAGACTTAGACGAAGAATTTCTGTGCTGATTTCGGTTGACTACTCGGGTTGATTATGTCTGAGATTCTTGTAAGATGGATTGTAGCAGGGAGTGGGAAGTATATGATTTGATTACCCTGAAATGTTCAGTGATTCGGTGCATACCATCATGTGGAATCCACAATTGCAGCCTATTGAGAGGACGACCATATGACGAGGGTAAGGTGTATTACTGTACAACAAGCTTGAGGTCGAAGGGAATGCGCTTCGTCTTCTCTCATACAACAAGTAAACACACCCGGTTTGGAGAGTATGTATATTCAATTGCGAAGTATGAACGTAGAAGATCGATATGGATATACCTCGATAAGATAGAACGGGTCTGACTATGAGAGACAGTGCGATGTGACGAGCCTTGAAGTCTCCGGAATAAAGTCACGGTGGGATTGGAATATGACGGGCTAGGAAAGGCTGGTTGATAGGTATGGATGTATGTATGTACGGGTTACTGGGTTTGAAAAGTGGTAAACTACCTAGACTGTTTATCTCGGACCGAGTTTGGCGAGGGCACGTGCGCCCTGTTCCTCCCATTCTTGTTTGGTGACCCACATATCCTCCTTGTCGGCGATCTGGAAGAAAAGAACACACAGGGTTAGCAGGCAGTGACGGACACATGATGGGCCACGAAGGGTTGCATACTAGGTTGGCCAGCACGGCACCTCCGAGGAAGACCATGTGTCTTCGTCGGGGCGGGTCTTCGATGCGGACCTTGAATTTCTATAGGGACCACGTTAGCTGGATGGCATAGAATGGGGCTTATTTGGGCAAAAAGCGCATACGTTGAGTCTCTCCGGATTTCCTTGCAGTACCCGGGTGAGCCACAGTTGCTTGAGCTCCTTCTCCAGACGCGAGGGCAGACCGGGGTACATGCTGCTTCCTCCACTGAGCACGATGGCCTTGTAGAGACTGGAGCGCACGTCGACATCGGCACCCTGGATGGTGTTGAACAGCAGCTCGGCGATACCGGGTTGGTCGACGTCGACCAAGTGCGGCTGGAAGAGACACTCGGGAGCCTCGAACCGCTCGCTGCCCACGCGGATGACACGGCCGTCGGGGAGGGTGTAGGACTCGACGAGGACCGTCGTGTCTTCCGAGAGCTTCTTGTCCAGTTCCAGGTCGTACGAGACGTAGCACAGCTTCTCCTTGATCTGGCGCACGGTCTCGAAGTCGGCCGTGCGGTTGAGGGCGTAACCGCGGCGGAGGAGAAGGGCGATCAGGTTGCGGGTGACGTCGCGACCAGCAACGTCCAGTCGGCGGATGTGGTGGTTCAGGACGGTGGATTCATAGACGGGAATGATGTGGGTGACACCGTCTCCGGAATCGACGACGACACCGCTGCTGAGACCTGCGATTCGCCGAAAAAGAGCATGGAGCTTAGTCGATGACAGGGATGATGTTTCAGGAGCACTGGCGACTTACCCTGAGCATACAGCGCAAGGACGGCTTGGATAGCGACGTAGACACCACCGAAGTTGTAGCCTTCCAGCATCACCTCGGCCATCTGCTCCCGGTTCTTCAGGGGGTTCATGGGGGGTTCGGTGAGGAGGATCTTGCGGCCGGTGGGGTCGATCTTCATCTTCTCGTAGAAAGTGTAGTTCCATAGGTGTTGCATGTCGTCCCATCTCTTGACAATTCCATTCTCCATCTAGTGAGACCGACCAGGAAACCATTCCGGCCCAACGTTAACATGGCTGCTGAATTGTGCCGCGAGGCGGGGGGGAGTTTCGGTAGTTTAGAACCAGCAAATGTATAGACATACGGGATAGGTGATCTGGAGCATTGATCTGGCGGCAGCAGCTTCATCGCCGCACATGATATCCTTGACGACAATGTCGCCTGCTTGCTCTTCCGTCCGCAGTATGGGGCGCCCCACTATCGAGGGGAACTGGTGCTCGGGGAAGTTCTGCAGGAAGATACGAGCGTTAGTGATTGAACGAAATTGACGAGTCATAACGGAATAGACCGACCTGCGCAGCATATCCGACTTTGAGGAAACCCGTTCCTCCATCGAGCACTGTTTGGTTGAATTGTTGTGGTTAGCTGAAAGGGAAGGCGGGAGGTACGGGGAGATGCCGGGCAAGGAGAGGAGGGACAGGTGGAGAGAGAGAGTAAGGGGGAGGAGGGGTTGAGGTGGGAGGAGCGCAACGTACCAATAGGCATATCAGCCATGATGATACTGAGATTGAGCGACGGGGGAAGAGGAAAAAGGAAGAAGATTGATCAGAAAGCGGGAGGAGGTAAAAGGGAACGAGGGAGTTGAGTATGGAGATGACGTCCAGAAGGCAGGCAGGCAGTAAGTTAGTCGGAGAGCAGCCGCAGCAGCAGCAGTAGCAATAATGGAAGGAAGACCAGGTCGCCCGTCCGGAGCGGCACTGCTTCGGTGGGGCCTGCCGGGCGGTCAATCACTGGTTGGTGCCTGAGGCTGTAAACTTACATCTACTTGACTGTCGTCTACTCTATCAGTACTGTAGGACTGTACCACAGTACTTAGTCTCAGATTACACAGATTATACTCCATGGTCTATGGTATACCATAATAGTAAGCTGCAATGCTCCAAGACTGAAGCTACTTCAGAACATCACCAGTCCCATTGCATCCCATGGAAAAAACTACTATAGTCCCTGATCATCAAAACCCTCAATGCTTCAGATCATGGAGACTACGACCTTTGGAAACTGAGGCCAGGTCAGACCCAATTGAGACAGTGAGACAGAATTCCAAACCTCGGCATAATGAGTACGATAGTCAAAGAATCCAGACTGAATCAAAGTGCTTGTTGATTCTTTGCCAATATCTCCGCCTCCCCGACATCGGGCCCGGCCGGTTATCGTCTGTCGCCCGAGATGCGTAGGTACTACAATAGTCTCACAGACCATAAGATAAAATCCAACCACCAACTCACCATCACTTCCACTCTAAGCGAGTGAGCCCCTACTATCAAGGTCTCAGTATACCTATAATCAACCACAATGCCACAAATCGGTTGGGTCCGTGCCATGCCATGCTTCCCCCTTCCCCCCTCCCTTCTCATACCACAAACCAAAACCCCCAAGCTTCTTCACATACCCATGCTGAAATCCCACCAACGCAACAGTATGGCCTCGGCTCCATGGGCCTGGCCATGGCCAGCAACCTCCAAAAGCACCTTGCCAGCAAACGAGCCCTGAATCTGCTCTATTCGAACCGGACAATGGCGCGCGGCGACCCCCTCAAGGCCCTGGGCGGGACCCCAGAGTCGAGCTTCACCAAGCTCGTCGCCCAATGTGGAATCATATTCACCATGGTATGTCTCCAAAACCATGACTGAATCCCCATTCCAGCGACCGGGGGCTGTCTGCCCATAAACACCAAAAAACCATTCGATCCAAAAACCCCGCCAACTAACTCCGCGACCAAAAAAAAAAAAAAGGTCTCCAACGACGCCGTCCTCCAACATCTCATCACCACAGCCACAGAGTCCGAGATCTCGCTGCGCGACAAGATCTTCGTGGACTGTTCGACCGTCCACCCGAGCACGGTCGGCCGGACCGTGGCCCAGCTCCAGGCGAAAGAGGCCTCGTTCCTGGCGGCGCCCGTCTTCGGCGGCAACCCCATCGCGGTCGACGGCAAGCTCGTCTTCGCCCTGGGCGGGCCGAGGCCGGCCGCCCAGCAGGTGAAGCCGTGGATCCAGGACGTGATGGGCCGGAAGGTCATCGACTGCGGCGAGGATGCTACGCGGGCCTCGCTGTTGAAGATCGCGGGGTGAGTACTTTGGCTCGTTTTCCATGCCATCGCCTACATCGTGTTTTGGGCGTTTTCGGGCTTCCATTCGAGGAGGCTGTTTTGGCTCTTGGCTGTGCCGAAGAAGGAAGGGAGGGCTAACGCGTCCCTGAAACTAGCAACATCGTCACCGTCAACATGATGGAAGCCGTCGGCGAAGCGCAGGTCTTCGCTGAACGCACGGGCCTGGGCACTGGGCCGATGGAGGAACTCATCGGGGAAGCCTTCGGCCCCGTCGCGGGGGGATATTCGAAGAGGTTGGCCTGTCTTTCTTGTACCCACTACTCAGCAGATGAATGTACCCTCTGACATACGCTAGGTTGACGACGGGCGTGTACGCTCCTCCGCTGGGCTCGCGGCCTGGATTCGGAGTGTCCTTGGCTATCAAAGATGCCAAACATGCTTTCGCTATGGCCGAGGAGAGCAAGGTTGAGCTCCCGGGCTTGCAAGTGGCTTTGGACAACATGGAGGCGGCCAGGGAGTATGCGGGTGAATGCTTAGATAGCAGCTCCATGTATGGAGTTCTACGGCAGAAGGCTGGCTTGCCATTCTGGAATGAGAAGAGCAGACAGGGCAACTCGTCATGACCGTACAAAGTGTTCGTACAGTCAGTCTGTGTGTACTAAGACAATTCCGAGGGATCCAGCATCGTGATATCTGTGGGTTTGTCATTTGGAAACAGTCGAGATACAAATAATTTCCAACGCATTTCTATGACTCAGTATCATAAATTTTGTCAAGCACCGTGTCTTTCGTGTTACGGCATGCCTCGATGCACTGGCAGCTTTAGTTGACCAATTCAAAAAAGGCGGAAACCCGAGTAAATATCCTTGAGAAAGTATGGTTTTCTTAGACGGGTAATTGCGCATGGCATGCGTTCAGATGAGAAAACAAACGTTAGGCATGACCGAGGCCACAGGCCACCGAACTTCGAACCGTGGTTAGAACGCCCACTCTATTACCAATTATGTGCATTTTACTTTTGCCGGTGAGTGGTTTTTATTTGATCTTGGTTGTATCTACCAGCGAAGGGTATGCCTCCGCAAACGCCGGGCCGAGGGACCAATTGCTAAGGTTTCGGAAATGTCTTTCGAAGACAGGATTGATAATCAAGTCGTCACCATCACCAGTAGAGAGCAGACAATCGGTTGCTTCATATGGCCAGTTGACCGACAAAGTCCGTGTGAAGGGTATGAACCAGTTCTCGAACGGATAGTCTCGATACGTCATCACCAAGCGATCTCGCATGCGCGGCCAGGGCAAATAGTCAATCCATGCCGGATGCGGAGTGAGCAACTGCGATGGACGGGGGGTCAGCCATTCAGGCAATCGCTCGTAATTCTCTGGAGTTGGATATATTTGCCATCGCATTAAGAGGAACATCAAGAGAAGAACACAGACTTGCTCCGGCAATGTTGCGATATCTGGGAATGTGCGCAGAATGTCGGTGAACACTTTCGACAAAGGATGTGAGTACACACTCCTTTCTGGATTAAGCAAGGACGATACGCTAGGATACGACGGGCCAACAAGATTCTGTTTCGGTACACCCTTTGCTGCCTCTTGCTGGCGATGATGCAAGAAATCCATGAGGATAGCGTCTAGTGTGCAGGTCGGCGCGATGTTCCGGATTGGAGTCAAGTGCGCAGGCAAGGACAGCGGTTGCTCCGTCGTCGCGCCTGCAGGTAGAGGTGCTGGATAAGTCGAGGCTGTGCTCGCAGGGGCTGGTCTGGGTGCCTCGGAGCAACGACGAAATCCATCCACCTTGGGCACCTGTTGCGACGTATCGAGCAAGAAATTGAATCCCATCCGCTCATCCGTGCCGCCGAAGTCGAGGCCATGGGCTAAATTATGTCGCTGGTAATCAAACGCAATGCGAAACGAAGCCGGACCAGCGGCCGTTAAATTCCGCCGACCTGCAGTGGGCGAGAATGTGAGGGGTGTGGAGGAGGAAGGGGCCTGCGTGCCCGCAGGCTTCGTATACGAGGAATCGGTCGAGGCCGACGATTGGGTGTTTGAAGGAAAGTGGCTATTGTCTGAGAAACACGACGTCACGGATATCGAGGGCATGGGTTTGGCGCTCGTGGAAGCGGCTGCCGACGCTAAAAGGTCTGGAACATGTCTGAGGTAAGTATATCTGCCCGAATGCTTGTCGAAGCAAACTAGACAACAGATGTGACCTACCGGACTTTGCCTGGTCTCCTAACAGGGGTTGTATGATCTCCAGGACTGCTTTCAACCCCTGCTTCAGTTCTCGGTTCTCCACTTGAACGGCTTCATTCTGCTTCAGCGCAGCCTGAAGATCCAAGTACGGTTTCTGCGATGAAAGATCGCGGACTTGCTGTTCGAGCAAGTCGATATGAGCCTTCGTGCGCTCGCGAATTGCGCGCTGGGCCTGGCGATCATTGGCTCGCTTCTTAGCTAGTTGTTCCGGGGTAAGATTGGCGACACCCCGGGCGGAATTGCTGTTCAGCTTGCGTTTCCGGCCCGCAACCGCCGTGGCCGCGCCTCCAGCGTCAGGCGCGGGCGTATCTGCATCAGCGGAGGCCAATGCAGACGGGGTGGGGGAGTCCTCGACTTTCACCACCGAGTTCGGATCGGAAATTGCAGCAATAGAAGTGACTGGGTGACCGGGCACCAGCGAGGATGTAGATGATGGGGATGTTTCCTCGAGGGCTGGCGATCGAGCCAATTCATTGAGAGGCGGTAGGCGGGTGGCCATGGCCGAACACTCGCGGGCTGGGGGGCTATGTGAGCTACCCAGCCATTCAACGCAGTTCAAAACGTGAGATTAGACGGGTTGTAGAGAGAGTTGGACAACAATTATTGTTTCACCCAGTGATGAAGATATGTGACATTTGAAAAACACTGACTGGTGGGGATGGGTATAATCGAAAGCTAATGAGACATGCATGAGTGCATGCTCGAGGTGGTCGGGGAAGGTGGAAATATTAATGAATGATGGGGGGGGGGGGGGGGAAGAGGAAGGAAGGGAAAGCGGACGGAGGGTCCCGAAGGCGCAGGAAAGGAATCGATTCGGTCTGGTTGGCTCCAGCAGTGGAAGCAGTGGGTATTCAACCCCCCAAAAGTCAATCATTAGCACCAATGCGCACCACGTTTTGCCTTCCTCTTGTCATTTGCCATTCGTCTCTTCAGCTTTTGGCCTTTTGACAAGATGGCGGTGCAGAATCAAGAACTATGGTTCCATGGGGACAAGGTTCGATAGCGTGGCGTCCGGCATGTTCTAGCTGCGCAAACAAAGCATCCCTCCCGGCCCAGGGTTGAGCAGTCAATGTGCACATCATCGACGGCATTCTGGCCATTGTTCGGCCATTGTTCCTCCCATTAGTACCTAGTAGTCTTCATCAGTCTCTGTCTCAAGGGAACCATTCTCATTGGTCTTCAATCTGACAGAAGGATTAACGCCCAGGCCAAACGGGTAGCAAACTTCGCAGATCCCTTTTTGTTTCTCCGAAGTTGTTGTAGCGATGATCCACCGAAACGTACAATGTGCACGAAACTAAGACAGGTAGTAATACACCCCGCGCACCCCCGGAGGAGACGTTGGAAACGTGGTACGCACAGATGAGGAAAGTAAGGACAAAGCAAGCAAGGTAAGATAGACGTCGCTGTCTCATAAACACCGTACATTACATAAGACCTCTCCTCGAGGTCCTCATGAGTATATAGAGCCCAGGGGTGAAAAAAAAGGTGTAAGCAGAATATGTGAAAGGTGAACATGCATGCGACAAGGAAAGGGAGCTTTTTTAGTCTACTGAATCATGTGTCCCATTTTTGAAATCTGCCATCCAATTGATCAGCTTCAAGATACTTTTCGACAGCTAAGATGCACAAATGAAAAGCCCCACAGTATGGATGAGGCGGAAAGGGGGGAGAAAAAGAACGTACCTTTGTCCTAAGATATCCCTCTACCTCTGTACTCGTAATGCCGGCCTTTCCGCCCGATCTCCATGCCAAGGGGATCATCGGCACGCGCTCCTTGACAACGACCTCGCGGTTGGGACCCTCAACTGCGCGCACCTTATCAGGATTGTTCGTGAGGAGTCGGATACCGTGGGGATTGGCATCTTCTCCCAGGCCAAGATCGACAAGGATGGCCGTGGCCAATCCGTAGCTTCGAGCATCGGCAGGGTGTCGCAACAACAGATTGGCTTCGACGGTATCTGATCCGAGATCCTGCAAGTTGTACGCTTTGAGCTTTTCTCCGAGACCAATCCCTCGTCCTTCTTGCCGGAGGTAGACGATCACACCACCAGAAGCGTTCGAAGCGACGGGCACTGACTGCTGCGACGCGAGTTCTGACAAAGTCTCCATGGGGAATGACATCAATCTCGCTGCTTCATCAAGCTGTTCACCGCAGTCGCAGCGTGCAGACCAGGCGGTCTCCCCAGTATAGCATTCCGAATGGATTCGCACGAGTGGCGCTTGACTCGGGGTACTCTCATCTGCATTTTGCGTCTCTTTCGCTCCCTCAGCGTTCCCTTCCTCATACCAACTGCTAACCCGACCAGGGTGAAGCTTGCCAACATAAGCACCACGAATCATGCGATCCATTTCGGTCTCTCCAGGTCGCACCTTGTCCAAGCTCCGGCTGCGGATTGTGTTGCCAAAGACAATTGCTAAATGTTCTTTGTTATCCAGGTCGTTGTGGTAGAGGTGGAGAAACATCTCCGCGCCCGTGGTCGTCGGGATGCGGGCACGGACAATGCACTCGACATCGGGGAGGCGCGAGAGGAGTTTCGGCGGCTTTGAACTGGTAGGTTGCTGTGCTTGTTGGAGCAATTGTGCCGGATTAAATGTTCCACCTGGGGTTGCTGGCGGGGTAAAGGACGGGGAAAGAAGAGAGGCTGGCACAGCGGGGGTCACATCTCCTCGGTCACTGTCGGTCACACTGACCGCATCGCCACGGAGCTCATCTATCCGACTATTGAAGGCAATATGATCCGACCCCAGCGAGAGCTGTTCAATGGTATTGGAAGAAGCGGGTTGCGCCGCAAACGTTGGTGAGGCGTGAGACGGTAAATTTGACATGGCGGGGAATGGCGAAGCGTAAAGGTGGTCGAGAGAAGGAAGGTTTGAGCTCTAAGGAAGAGAGAGAAGAGGGTGAACCAATTCTATCCTAGAACTGGACCAGATTGTACATATGATTCAGCACGGTGATTGCGACAAGAGGACCATAGCCAGGTAGGATGCTAGAAAAGGGGAGGTGACTGTACAATCATAGATGTCCATCGTGGACTGCTATCTCGGCGCTGCGTTGCTCTAGTCTCGGCCCCTCGGAATGGCGGCGGCTTCGGCGACGGGCGGGGAATCTCGATGACTCAGCTGTCATTAATCAGCATGACGCGATCTGTAGTCAGATTGTGGCAGAAGCAGGTAAACGCCGCGCCACACCATGCACCGCCTACATGATCACTCTTCTAGATAAATCTGAATCGCCGTGATTCTGAGGGCTGAATAAAAGCATGACTAGTCCTTATCTAGTTCATTGGGACGAACTGGGTTGCAGACACATCAGGCTTCCCATTGACCGTAGTGCATGTAATGCTGACAAGGCACCGGGGCTAAGCCTATTCGGTGTAAACCTGTCCAAGTAGTAGATTTTGGGGATTGCGCTTCGTTCATTTGTCTTTGGTCCACAATATCATTTGTCCGCTATAAAACCACCTATTCCAAGTAACAAATAGAAGGAAAAGAAGCAGGTTGAAAATTGGAAGATGAAAAGCAAGTCCAACTCCGTGCACAGTCACAAAACTCCATCAAATCATAACAAAACCGAGCTAAACAATGGGTATCAAGTAATCGATCAATCTGGCAGCCGATTTCACCCTTCCTCTGATTGCAGTATCGTAGAATGTTTCCCACGCCATAAACCCGAGGCGATTCCGGACTTATCCCCTTTCTTTCCCTACTTCCGTTCAGAACCATCCATCTGGCTTGGCATTATATCGAGGCTTGAGCGAGAGCAAAGGCCTGATAGGAGAGGCACAGAGACGGGTGCATTACTTTCCGGGAATGTCCAGAACGAAGCGGCGGTCAACCTCCATCTCCTTATCATCTTCCTCACCCTCGAACTTGAGGCGATAGACATCCTTCTTAGTACCCATAACCTCGGCACGATAGAAAGTGGTAGTGTCTGGATATCTTGCCAGAACTTGTTTCCCAAGAGAAAACGAGGGCAACGTAGACCCGATGCGAGGTATTGGAATCAGCGACGCTGCGGCGGTTCTGTATACCGCGCCCTGTTCACCGTTTTCGTTTGGTTCCGGGTCCTGTACATCATACCTTTCGAAGGCACATCGGTCAATCGTTCTGTGGGACTGGACTGAGGGTTGGTGCGTACCGTTTCTTGGGCCCATCCCCGGAGATCCCTTTGATAATGCATTGAATGCCCTCGCCTTCGACACCTTGCTTGTTCTTGTTGTGCTTGAAGACGACTTCCGCGCCAACCACTAGATGCCCGCTTCGTTCGGCTAGCGTGCCCTTCGCGCCCTCGGAGCCTTCTTCTACCTTGATTTGTACGATGGGGTCCCGGCCCTCGCGGGCCTGCGAGCTGGAAGCACTGGTACTACGCTGAATGCCACCCTTCACGCGGCTGACTTTGTCCGACAAGGAGTTATTGGACGGACCCGGCGAGTCGGTAGCCGAGCCGTCCATCTCATTTCGCTTCTTCCGTGACTTGGAGAGAGATGCAGCCCGGTTCTGCGGCGCCTCGGCTTCTGATGCCTGCCGAAGCGCTGTCAAAAGACCGAGGTTCTTGATCACATCACTGGGCTCGTCTTGGAGGATAGCTCGTTCCTCCTCGCACAACTTCGCCATCTGCCTGTAAAGGCTGTCCAGTTGGTTATGCTCGCTCAAAGTTGGCTCTGTTGAGATCCGTTAGCGCCTGCAAGACTAACGGCCTCCGCCTCCGAGAAAAGGGCAAACAGAGGTCTAGATGCAACCATGGCTTGCACAAAAAGCGAAGCAATAGCACAACCCAATTTCTAGGCGTATAGCCTGAATTGTAGGAGGAAAAAGCACAAGGCGAATGCCCATGGAGAAGGAAATGAATCTGACTTACTGCCGCCCTCTCGGCCGATCTTCTCATTCAGCGTAGCTATTTGCTCTGCCAGGACCTTTTGCTTGTCGTTCTTCTCTTTGGCCTTGCGCAGATCCTGTAGAATCTTGTTCCACATATCGGTTTCCTCATTGGCTGCGAGGCCATTGTCCCTGGGGACTGGAGGACCTCGGGGCCGATTTCGGGACATAATGCGGAGAGAGGGACTCAGGTCCGCAGCTGTATCTTCGGTCTGCTGCTGACCTTTACTGCTTTGAAGTGGGGAGCTCCTACTCGGGGTGGTGGTTTTTAGGGCTGGGCTTGCTAGTTCCTGCGCAATAAGAGTGGTCGTGGTCGTTGTAGACTTGAGCTTGTCAATGTCGAGGGCCTCCCAAGGGAAAGCGGAGACCAGGTCCTTGCGAGCCGAACTGCGTGTTCCACGCGCTGCGCCCTGTCTCTGCTCGTGGGGTCGACCTTCAAAAAGACCGGTCCTGGGAGAGGAAGAGTTCAAGGAAGCAGCAGGCGGCCCTGGAGTTGAACACCTCTGACTGCCGACAGCAGTCTGAGGCTGAGGAGATGGTAGGTGGTGGAGCTGAGAGGCTGAAGCCGAAGCTGCTGGCGGCGATGCTTGTGATGCTTCCACGGCCTCCTCGCGGACATTCTCTCCGACGGCGGCGTCATGATCTTGGCGCGTCCTCGTCGTCGTCGGCAAACGCTTGGTACTCCATGGCATGCCCTGATTGGCAGAGACCATCACGGTCTGGCTCACGTAAGGTAACCAACCTGAACTCAGTCAAGTAAACAAAACCGGTCCGATGCTGGCTTACGTAAGGACGCTAAGCCTGGAAGTTGTACCGGGACGCATGTGGAATCACCGAATTGGGGAACCAGCAACACAATCGGACGAATCTGGAGGGGCAGATTTCAATGGGTGCAGTGGATGGAGCGATGATGGAAGGATGGAGGTGAGGCCGAGAACAGTGGTGTCAATGTGAGGTGGGATGGGTAACATCTCATCTTTGAGAGACTTCTGCCTTTCTTTCCTTCTTTCTTCCTCCTTTTCCCCTCACCTTCCTTCACTCTAGCTTCCCTAGGAAGAATAACACATTAGTGAATATCTTATCCACCCCTCCTCCCGCTCTTTGCTGCCTTGTCCCTTCTTGAGTTCCCCTCCCCCACTATCAAAGAGCCTGGGTTCTGTTATCTTGAACCAACACCCATTCTGATCCCCTCCACCTCCGCCAAAATGCAGGTCCCATTGCTCCGGCTTCAATGTGGTACGTCCTACTTCTTCTATCTTTCTCCAACTTATAGTCCTGGACTGACAGTCTACTTGATCGCTGCAGGTGTTAATAGTTATGACTGGGGTAGGAGCTCCCCGCACCCCGAGTTTTTACCCGTCTGCCTTTCGCTGAACGCTCATCCCAGGCAAAATTGGCCACGATTCTGCGGCTGCCAAGTATGCAGCTACCTCGTCTGACTCGGACTTCTCGATAGAGGCAGAGAAGCCTTATGCAGAGGTTGGTACGCCTGAGGTTGAGCCTCCGCAAGCGGTCGACTGACCCGATGACGTATAGCTATGGATGGGCACGCACCCTTCCCTTCCCTCCAAAGATTTCGAGACCAAGCGGACCTTGCTCGATATGGTCCAGGATAACCAGGCTCTGATGTCTGCCGAGGTCAGCGAGCGATATGGCGGGAAGTTGCCGTTCCTGTTCAAGGTGCTTTCTGTCCAGAAAGCTCTTAGCATCCAGGCGCACCCCAACAAAAAGCTTGCAGAAAAGCTCCACGCGAAAGACCCTCGCAACTATCCTGGTAACTAGCTCATGATCCTTGTCGGACCCATAGTGATAGTGCTGCAGCTGACTTCAAATTGTCGTTTCGCAGATGACAACCACAAGCCTGAAATGGCCATCGCGATCACTCCCTTCGAAGGCCTGTGCAGCTTCCGTCCCCTCGATCAGATCACACACTTTCTGAAGGCCGTTAAACCCCTCCGTAATCTGGTTGGAGAGCAGGCTGCCAGTGAATTCGAGCGCACCGTTCGGGGTTCCGAGAGTTCGGAAGACCCCGAGGTAACCTCCAAGAACAAGGACGCTCTGCGCACGCTCTTTACCACACTGATGAAGTCGTCTCCCGAGGACATCGCAGCAGCCACTAAAGAGCTTGTCGAGGCCACTCAACAACCAGACACGTTTGCTACCTCGTCCACCTCTCCCGAGACGAATCCTAGCAACCCGGCCGAATTGGCTGCCATCATCACTCGCCTCAATGGCCAGTTCCCCGATGATATCGGTCTCTTTGTTTTCTTCTTCCTCAACTTCGTGAAACTCGCTCCCGGTGAGGCTATGTTCCTGAAGGCCGATGACATCCACGCCTACGTTTCGGGCGACATCATCGAATGCATGGCGTCATCCGACAACGTCGTGCGGGCCGGGTTTACCCCCAAATTCAAGGACGTGGACACGCTCACGGAGATGTTGACGTACTCATATGCGCCCATCGAGGAGCAGAAGCTGCAGCCGACCGACTACCCGTACGTCGTGCTCAACGCGCCGGCGTACTCGAGCGGCTCATCCTGTCTGCTCTACGACCCGCCCATTGAGGAATTCAGCGTCGTCAAGACGGAACTCCGGAGACCCGGCGCCAAGGCGACTTTCGACGGCCTGGTCGGCCCTAGCATTCTGATCTGCACGGGCGGAGCGGGAAAGATCACCGTTGGCCACAAGTCAGAGGAAGTCAAGGAGGGCTATGTGTTCTTCGTAGGCGCCAATGCCGAGTGCATTGTCGAGAGCACCGACAGCGGAGAGGAGAATCCGTTCGTCACATATAAGGCGTTCTGCGATCTGACTGGCAAGGAAGACATGGCGAATGGCAATTAGGCTGTAAGTAAGGTCAGTTTGCGTCCTTTGCGTCATGTGCATCAGTCCTACATAAATACTTAATTTCGGGTCTATTTTCAATCTGAATTATCTTCGGATGTATATAAGTCTGGTCCAACCTGTCACTTTGTTTGCTGTGCATCATAAGAGAAAGAGGACATTTCTGCCGTGCCGGGGTACGACCAGCCTTTATGAAACTGTCTGGAATCCCCCACACTCGAAAAGGAGGAAGTGTGAAGACATCGCTTAATAAATACTGGTAATACGAAAGCTATGCCATCGTATCGATTCATCATGAAAAGAGCAACTTTGCGCTAGAGGGTGATACTAAATGTAAACTTAAAGAAAGAGGGAAACAAATGCAAAGTCAAAACACAGCAGCGCCTAGCCAACTTAGGCCAACACCCTAGGGGCGTACTTAGCCGCCGCAGAGTCAAAGAGATCACTCTTCTCCTGGATATCGCTCAACAGAGGATGCGACGGGTGAGTCTGCTGGAGACGTCTGCAACACACACCCAAACACACATCAGAATTAGCATCCGCCCAACACCAGAGTTCACGGGAAACATACCCTTCCAACTCCTCCGCCGATTTGCCGGCGAGGACATTCAACACGATCGCATTGGCGATCACCTCCGCCTCGTCGGGGTATTTCTCCAGCGCCGTGGACAGCGCCGCCTCCGCCTCGGGCAGTCTCCCCAGGTGCAGCTCGGCGACGGCCTGGCCGACGATCGACAGCGGGGCGGCGGTGCCGGGCGCGGAGGCCAGTTCCTCGTAGACGTAGAAGGCGGCTTGGTATTTCTCGCCGCCCTGCACATGTCCTTTTGGTCAGTGACTGTAGCGATCGATCGCGCAAGCAGGTTTCCCCCATGAGCGGTCGGTTGGGAGAACGCTCGCTCTGAGGACGGGTCGGACAGGGCAAGGGGGAAGGGGGGGGGCAAAGGCAAAGGACATACGACTCTCAACCCCACCCACGATTCCGCCAGGTTGACCAGCAGCGAATCCTGCGCCCAGCGCTTGGCGGCCTGCACTTCTTTCAGGGCGAGATCGGATCGGTTCTGGTGGAGGTGGATCTGCACGATTAAGGCGACGCTGTAGGCGCTCGAATCAGCTCCCATTTTTCCTGCGAATGCATCTCCCTTCTTGTGGAATTCAATGCAAAAGCACACAACAATCCACTCCATTGCCCCCTTTTTTTTCACCCGCTGATCCAAACAAAGTATGGGGATGCGACTTACGCCTCCAAACTCCCCTGATGCTTAGCCAACAGCGCCAGCGCCTCCTCGCTGTGACCCTGGGCCTGCAGCACCGTGCCGGCCAGGACCTGCACGGTGCCGTTGTCGGGAAAGTTCTCGGCGAGGTCCTGGGCGAGGGTGTGCGCCGATTCGAGGTCGCCGGCCGACTGCTGCGCCAGGGCCTTCACCGCGGCCAGGTCCGGGTTGCTGTCGTCCTCGCCGGCGAGCTCGGCCAGCACGGCGGCGGACTGGCCCAGCGCGATCTGGGCGCGGAGCTGGAGGATGCGGGCGGGGAGCTGGTTCTCCGGGGAGAGGGCCGCGGGGTCGAAGTCGATCACGGCGGGGTATTGGCCTTGGTGGAAGGCATTGTGGATGTTGATCAATTCTGCGATGGAGGAGTAGAGGGGGTTGGTTAGTTATTGTAACCTAGGCTGGTACAATTCGAGAGAATGGGTTGCGGTCGCGGTTGCCGGGAGTGGATGAAGAGCTTGAGGGAGGAGGTAAAGGGGGCATTGGATGTCATTAGGGTCAAGAAACATACCGCCTTCTGCTGAGAATGGATCCATTGTAGCGAGAAGTTCAGGAAGTATTCGAATGTCGAATCGAGGGCCAGGTCAGTTCGGAGATAGTAGCAATCTAGTAAAGGGCTTGGATGCGGAGGGCGGTCGGGAAAGTCGTCACGTTGCCTTTACGGGAGTCCGGCGGACGGCAGGTGGACCGAGGACTGGGCAAGTCATCCGAGCCAGGCGCCGGAGTTCGGCCACCGTGTGAATGTTTGAAGTACTCAAATGTTCTACAAAAAATGGCTATCACTCATACATCCAAAGATCATGATTGTTCTTCAATTTGTCATCGAATTGAGCTTGCAAAAATAGCGACCCAGCCGCATGATTCGTGTTAAAACAGGAGATTGAAGACAAGTAAATCAAGTCATGATTCTCTCCCATACCGAGGACGAGGACTTTATCAATTCCCCCCCGGAAAACAAGTGACAGACGGGAAATATTGAGATAATGAAGATGCAATGTCGCCACAAGAAGACCTCGGCCTCATTGACAATGCTCAACTTCCTGCGTGTAACTCCTCGACCGTCGATGCCCACGCAACCCAAAATGCAAACGACGATGATTGTCATGATTGATACGCCACCTGGAGTTGAGGTCGTAGGCCTAAGGACCGAACCGTAGTGTAACGAATGCAAAACCCAGGAAGAAGCCATGCAAAATAAACAGATAGGATATGGATAAATTTGGCACCGGAATGCGGTCAGCAAAAAAGAAGAAAGAATAAGAAAGACTCAAAGCAAAGGGTATCGCCACATAAATCAGGGTACTCCGGCAGAATAGTATAGAAACAAATCAAAACACAAGACACAGAAACACCGTTCGGCCATCCGGACGCTTAACAGTGGCCATGCATCTTTCACTGCCTCATAGAACAAAACAACCAGTTGCGAGATGATGCTTTCCATCCAGCCCACCTGTGGCTTCCTCGGCAGCTGAAATGCACCCAAGGCTCCAAAAACACAAATGCAAACTAAATAATAACACAGATCAAATGCAGTCAGGCTGGGATAACGCCATTCCTATACTTGCACCTGGAACGAGATGGACAAGATCATGATGACAAGGTAAGCG